GGGGGGGAGAGGATGGTCAGAATAAGTTGTCTACCTAAGTGAAGTAAAATCATGGCTCCTCCCCCGCAATCGCTTTTCATTAACCGCGATCCGCGCGACGACTCTTGTTTCCTTCTCCTCTCTCATTCCGTTATCACGTCCGAGTGCCACGTAATGAACGAGCACGCAGAGAGACGAACGCGCGCCAGCGATGTGGGTAGTAAGCATTTTTTTTTTTTTAAATCGTACCGTAAGCGCGTTTTTGACAAAAGCTTCGGTACTCGGATCTGCGTATACGATTGAACGCCACTTTTTTTTTTAGATTATAATCGATCGTTGATTTAATGCGTACGCGACGCATGTCATTCTATACAAAATATGTTCCCACACTTTCACATTTATATATCGCGTTAAGTGTAAAAAAATTTGCTGTATCGTTTACACTGTCCTTTTTTTTCTTCTTTTTATCATTCCTTTTATCTTAATGTTAAGTTTCCGCCTTACAACAAAATTCACTAAATCCATCGTCAGCGGGAGGTGTGCTCCTCTCGTGGACCGATACGCGTTGGCGTTGGCGTTGACGGTGACGACGACGACGACGATGATGATGATGACGATGACGATCCGCGGGGTTAAAACACATAGTCGGGACCCGCCATGTCTATTGCCCATCGGAACTTGTCCCTCTGAGTCTTGTTGTAGATCTTCTCGATCGGGACATTGTGTTTCTTGCACCTGGGGAAGCGTAGAGATTTGTACAGACATGGAAGACGGAAATAGTGCGCGAAGCAAATATTATTAATATTAAATTTAAGGAAAGGAATTTAAGATATACAAAGCATAGAGATATGTATAGACATAGAAGACAAAAAGTGTGCTAAGCGAGTATTATCAATATTAAGGAAAGGAGTTCAAGATAAATATAATATCGATATTAGCAAAAAAATGTATCATACAGTAAATAAAATAAAAAGAAATTGCGGATGTATAAAATAAAAAAGTAAAACTCTGAAGGATATAAAATTAAAATAAGATAAAAAAAATTCGATAAAAGTATAAGATTAGTATTTACCATGCAACGGAAATTCTAGGATCGAGATAGTTCAGTTTGGAGGTACTCAGCGCGATCTCTTTATTCTCTTCTCGGTCGGTCGCCTGGACCTCCAGCTTCGTCAATTGATCCTTCAATCTTTCCAGTTGCTTCTTCTTCTTATCATATGCTCTGTAAAGTCAAGAGTAAAATGAACTCATGCACGCGAGCTGCACGAAAAAGTAATAAAAGAGTAATAAAAAAAATGTAAAAACCTGAGATACGTGCAAAACCACAAGTTTTATCACAGTTTAACTACGTTAAAAAAAAAAAAAAAAAATAAACAAACTCTAAAATAGACGAAGAATTTGTAAATAAATAAATCGAGTGCTTAAAACAGACTCTAAGTGAAACATCGTTTAAATAAAAATTTTAATGGTTAAAATAATTTGAAGCTATGTGTGTGTAAAATTCATAATAAATTAAATTTAAATTAATAATTTATAAGTATTTATAAGACATTTAATTTAAATTTGATTAGTTATTATAAATTTATTTTTAATTACTTATCGTATGTATAGAAAACGCGCAGAAAAAAAATAACGTACACTTTTTCCTTCACCGAGCCGTGTTTCGCGTCGCGTTTGGCATCCTTCACTTGCAGCTCGCACTCGCCTATCGCCTCTTTCTTCGCGTCAATCTTAGCCTTTAGATTCTCCATGGATTTCGCGTGTGTTTTTGGTACAGAACGCTGATGGTTACACAGTATGGCGACGGCGCGATTGGCTCGATTGTACGAGAGGATCTTCTCCGCCTCCGTCTCGTCCGGATCCGTCAGTTTGTCGAGCTGCTGCTGCAGCGTCCACGAAGCGTTGTAAGTTCTGAATACTTTGGCGGTCAGACCTTCCATCAGCTCGTTCAGATGCTTATTCATCACGGTGGTGTTGAGACGATCGAACAGATCGTCCCCGGGCGATTTGTTTTCCATGAAGAGCTGCAGATTCTTGAAGACGCGCTTCTCCACCGGCACCTCGTTGTAATATCGAATGGAATCTTTACCTGCGCGATTAATTAATTTCATAGAAATTAATTATATTGTAACTGTAAATTAATTATATTGAAACCCGCGTTATATTCTATTGTTATAATATTAAAAAAATAAAATAAAATACGCAATAGTTTTAATTATACTGATTGTGCATGACAATTACGACGATCCGATTATTACCTAAGAAATCAAACACGACGACGTATTCCCTGCCGTCCTTCTGCTCGTGCAGCTTGATATGCTCGACTCGCAGGGAGCAACAGCCCACGGTGTCCGCCTGATCCTCATCCTTCTCGTTGCCGGCCCTGAGCGCCAGCTTGTCGATGAAGTACAGGGCGACGGCCCGCTGCCGAATACGCATCTCCTTGCTTTTCCAGTCCTCCCGATACTCGGCGCGGATCTTGTCGATCGACTGCGCCAGCTTCCGCGCCGTCTCGTACTTCTGCCAATCCTTCTCGCCCTTGAGCTTGCTGGATGGATTCAGCATCACGTACTTCACCTGGCCCTGAATGTTCTCCGTCCAGGACGCGAGCCACGTGACGTTGGAGTCGTGCCGCACCTCCTTCCACTTGTGGCCGGGCGGCGGCTTCGGTATGTTCGAGTCCTTGGAGCAGTTGATCAGCACGTCCTCCGGCAGCACTCGCTTCTTCAGCTTGCCCATCTTGGGATGCTCGCCGCGGCCCCGGAACAGGCCGGGCGGCTCGATCTTGAAGTTACCGATCTTCTCCTTGTGGCCGTCGATCGTGCAGAAGCCGTACTCCTTCTGTATCTCCTCGTTCTTCTCCTTGATCTTCTGCTTCTCCTCCTTCGTCATCGCCTTGCGCTCCTCGCTCTTCTGCACGAAGTACGCGTGCATCTCCTTGAAGTTGCACTTGGCCAGATCGGTGATCCTGGCGCGCTCCGACTCGGTCATCACCTCCCGCCAGTCGTGGAAGAAGTTGTTGTTGAACGCGGCCTTGGTCGTGTAGTCGTGATCGAGCATGCGAGCGTAGAAGGTCGCCACCTCCTCCGTCTCCTCGCTCAGCTTCATCTCCTTGCCGTTGTAGTAGAACTTCACGTTGGGGGGTAAGGGTTCGTAGGGTGGCGCGAATACTGGTCCCTTGTGCTCCAAGTAATACCATTTCGTGCCATCGCTCTTCTTCTCTTCCTCCCACCTGCATTTTTATTAAATGACACGTGAAGAGATCATGCCAAACCTTAGGCTACGACGACATCATACATAATCTTTAATACACACGATTGAGTTATTCGGCTATAATTACTTGTATAACACTTACAATCTCTTTTTAATACTCAGCCTTATAATACACTTTCTAAAGATATCGAAAATACATGTAAGAATCATCTAATCATTTTTGATACTTAAAGTAAAAGTGATGGAAATAAACCTGGCACGAGTGACCCCAATCGTATGTAGTAAAAGAAAAAAATCTTTTAAAATCTTAAAATAATCCCAAATAATGCGACGTTTTAATAACGTCGAAAGACGTCTTAATAACGGCTCTAACGCCAATAAAACGTTATTGAAACGTCATCTTGTTACTTGGGATCGTGTTAAAAATTAAATATAAAAGAAATTAAGTACAAAAGAAAGTTTTTGTCGTTAAATTGTTAGAAATAATAAATAACGCATAAAGGGATGCGGAGTTGAATCTCAAAACGGAGTACGTGTTAGTACGTGAAAGTAGAAGAAAGCAGAGGATAAAAATTCCAACTCCGACGTTAAATTCGAGCGAACGTAACTCTGCAGACGTAACCTCAAAATCGACGGATCCGGTTTTGTTTTATAAACCGCGTAATTGCAGCCGCCTTCGAGATTCACTAAAAATCTCATTGGAAAACGGAGGAATACGCTTCTTACAAGACTCCGCATTGTATCCAGTCAATCGCATCTCTCGTTCGAGAATAAAACCGGGGGGAATTCGAGACGCCGTGAGGAAGCTCGGGTTACGCTGCGACATGTGATGTCTAATTTTCTCTTTTCAAACAACCAGAGAGACTTGTAATCTCTAGGAGACGGACGCTGCTATTGGATTACACGGACGCACGTGCACCGGAAGTGAGATTATGGGGAATTCACAATCCGCGCGACATCCAAAACAGTCTGTTCGTATCGCTTGCACCTTTTGTATTCGAAGATCTTCCGCCTTCTATCTACGCAACGCCCGGAATATACATTTATCTCGCCCCAAGTGCAAAAATTCGCGGGGATTTCGAGCAAATCTGGCACGAGCTTCCTAGGGACTTTAGATCACAGTACTACTTTTTATCTCTGGATATAAAAATCCACCCATTGAGGTTGCAAAAAAAAATAAAAGTTAGGGAAGAGCGCGTTCTCACGTGACCGTCTCCGCTACTGAACTGTACGAGTGTCCCATACCATTTCCAAACCTCCTGCTGCTCCTCTTGCTTCTTCTTCCTCGGACTGTCGCCTCCTGCGTTCATCTTCGTATTCTTCTTCTTTGGTTTCTACAAGAACGCGGAAACGTATTACTCTATGATCTGTCGTTTCAAACTCAGGGAAGAAATGTCGAAAAAAAAGAAAAAAATGTATTACCTGCATCTCCTCGGCCTCGGAATCGTCATCGTCCCCGTGTTTTCGCTTCTTCTTCTTGCTGGTCTTCTGGCTGGCAGCCGCTTTCTTGGATTTCTTGCGCGTCGACAGCGGAACGTCGTCGTCCTCGTCCAACTGGATTTTTCTCTTCACGTTCGGCGATACCTTAGATCTCGAATACTGTATCAATATATTTTAATTGAGTAACTTCTAAATTAAATAATTCTTCAACGGACACGCTGCTCCTGTTTACGCGTTTCTACATAACTATTCTTGAGTCCAACTATTGCGATCGAAACAAAATTTACCAATGGCTTGTCGTCATCCTCCGAGTCCGCTTCCGTCTTTAAGGTCGTGTTGTGGAGATCCGACAATCTGGTGTCATTTCCATCCGTCGAGTCCATACTGGCCTCCTCTTTGATCGGCTCGTCGTCGTCCTCCTCCTTGATGTAGAGCGGTCGCTCGCCACCGCTGTCGTCATCATCGTCCAACTCTTGCGACATAGGCTCCTGGCGAAAGAGGTCGGGGTATTCATTTCGTTTTACAATTTTTTCCCCGAAAACGATATAACCGCAAATAAAATTGCGCTCACCTCCTTTATCTCATTCTTAAGATTAACCATATTGTAGTGATACCCTTCGTTAATCGAATGATTCACCTTCACGTTCGGCTCTTCCTTCACTTTAACCTCCTCCTTATCCTTCTTCTCCTTCTCCTCGCGATGCTTAGCTGCAATTCAATTACGCACGATTACGGAGAGAACGTAGAATAAATATTTACATTGAATGTATTTAGATATCTTTCCGCTTACATTTGTCGTGGCGATGGCGATCCTTGTCTTTATCATGGCGATGCTTATCTCTGGACGAACTTTCTCTGTGCTTGTCTTTGTCCTTCTCGGAGGAGCGGTGCTTCTCCTTGTCGCCCGAAGAGTGCGAAGTGGAATGTCTATCCTTATCCTTCTCCGACGAGTGCTTCTTACCGTCCTTGTCCTTCGAGATACTCCGGTCCTTGTCCTTGTCGCGCGAGCTAGAGTTCAGGGAACTACTGTGTCTATGCCTATCCTTGTCCTTGCTCTTCGAGTCCTTGTCCTTGCTCGAACTGTCCTTGTCCTTTGAACTGCTGTGATGTCTGGAGGAAATACGTCGTCGTCAGACAAAAATTTCATCATCAATCAGCATCATTAGCAATATTTTATTAGACCTCTCTTTTCATTTTACCTGTCTTTGTCTTTAGAGCTCGAGCTCGATTTATGATGATGCTCCTTGTCCCTGCTCTTATCCTTATCCTTTTCCTTGTCCTTGCTGGACGAGCTGCTGCTCTTATGCTCCTTGTCCTTGCTAGACGAGGAACTCTTTCTATCCTTGTCTTTATCTTTGCTGCTATCATGCTTCTCCTTGTCCTTAACCGAACTGGAGCTATGTCTGTGCTTGTCCTTGTCCTTATCCCTGTGTTCACTTTTGTGATTCCTCTCCTTGTCCCTGCTCCGATCTTTGTCCTTGTGATCCGATTTGTGGGACCGCTCTCTGTCCTTGTCCCTGTGCTCCGATTTGTGCTCCCGTTTCTTATCGAAACCATTGGACATGCCATTGATATGATCTAGGAAAATTAAATACAGAATTGAAGTGCTATACTTCGAAGCGAGTCAAAAGATGGGAAAATTTAAAGGAATAAAAAAAAATAAAAAACTTAAAATTTTATTCAATTAATTTTAATCACATCGAAATATATAGAATATACTATGTCATTTATAAATTACTTTGTCCTTTTTATATGCTTGGCGTTGTGGCGCTGCCATGTCGCTTGATAATCAAACATTACATTGCTTAAAAATGATATCCTTCAAATGAAGACACTTTTGCAATCTCTCTCTCTCTCTCTCTTTCTGAAGTCTTTCATGGCTTGCAACATTTCAACTGTAATGTTTGCAATTCCTTTATGAATACTTAATGTTATAATATTGATGTTTCAAGTTTATCAATACTTCAACTTGCAAGAAGTCATGAGAAACTTCAGAGAGAGATTGCGAAAATGCATGCACTCAAGAGGAGGCCATTTGAACGATGTTATTTTCGAGATTTAATGCTCATTAAGGACATGGCAGCAACATCGCAGCGGCAAGTACATAAAAAGTATAAATTATAAATGGCATATGTGTTCTGATATTTTGATATAATTAAAATTAATTTCATCAAGTTTCCAACTATTTATTTTATCCCTTTAAATTTTTCTGTTCCTTTGGCTCACTCTGTATAAAAAATGTATCATTAATTTTATTCATATACATGAAAAAAACAAGCCTGTGTAATGAGAATTGTAAGATATATGAAGTATAATACAATAAAACATTAATTTAATAGTAAAAAGAATAACAAAATAAGGAGCAAATTTGGAGTAAGATTTAAAAAAGAGCAGAAACTCAAGTATCGAGAACATCTTCGGCTTAATCCGATTCGATCAATTTGTGCAATGAGATTTTTAGATGAAAAGAGATGCACCTGAATTTTTTCACAAAAAATTTAACAATCGAAAACTCGCGCGGTCTTTTAAAGCCTCCATTTCATGTGACTCATTTGTTTTGAAGAATCTTCACAGGTATCGTTCACCCACGCCGATCCTTATCTCCTGATCGACGGGATTTGCATTTTCTGGAGCCCCTTCCCGCTCCCGAGTTCTTCGTCGCCTCGAAAAAATCTCGAACTTTCGGTAGGATTCCTCGCGCGCGCGGGGAAATCGTGGGATCCCGCTCTCCTCGCCGGCGTTGCTTCCCCGTACGGGACGCGACACGTGTTCGATTCCCGCCGCCCCCCTCGCGCCCCGAGGTCGCGGTGAGTCCTCCGACCGATTTTATAATTCAACCGATTTCGATCGGCGCTCGCCTCGACGACGACGACGCGCGCCGAAAACGAAGAGAACTCACCACTGTGATTCCCGGAGACGCCGCCGCCGCTCTCCTTGGTCTTCCTCTCCTGAAACAGATGAGCACCCATTCAGCGCGCCGCGAGGCTTTTCAGGAACGCGAGCAGAAGGGTCGATCGCGCGTCCGTCAACGGAGTCCGAGACGAGTGTGTTCGAGCCACACGGAGGGGAGGAGCGACGTCCCTCTCTATCTCTCTCTCTCTCTGGCCGCCGTCCCTCGACTCGACTCGCCCGTCCGCCACGGTAGAGAACTTAGTCGCCAGACGCCATTTTGGGGACTTAGAAAAATTTCGCGTCGGCACACTCTTCGATCTCTTCGCGGCGCGGGACGGCGGCGGCCAAGAGAGAGAGAGAGAGAGGCGGCCGAGACGAGCGGCGCTCCCGCGGCGCGTTATTGCGCGCGGAAAAAGAAAGAAAAAATGCGCGGAAGACGGCGTCGGCCGCCGCTCGAGAGGAACGATCGAGAGAACGCGGTCCGCTTACCAGGTCCGCGTTCACCTGCGGCACCGCCTGCTCGAGCTCCATTTCTCCCCCGACACGCACAGCGGAACCTGCACACCGCGGCTGCCCAGCGGTGGGACTGGTGCGGCGCGAGACGGGACGACGACGGGACCCGCCGTGGTACAGCTGCGCCGTCGGGCACGGCGGCGGAAAGAGTGAGTGAGGCGGCGAGTTCCGTGGGCCGCGAGCGGATGGCTGGGGCGCACACGAGCGTGCACGAGCGGCACTCTCTCACGCACGCATACACACACGCGAAAAAACAGCTCCGACGTTTGCGTCCGCACGCGTCCGTCCGTCCCGTGAAGAGTATATGCTAGTCGTGGAGAGAAAGAGAGAGAGAGAGAGAGAGAGAGAGATAGAAAGAGCGACAGACGGGATGATAGAGAGTATGTGTGTGTGTGTGTGAGGGGGGAAGGAAAGACAGACGGCACTTCACTCCTACGACGGTCCGCAGCCGCGCGAGCGTCCGTCCGTCCCTTCCGAAGTCCGACGAACGACTCAACGGCAACGACTGTCCGTGGCGTGCGCGTCGCGATGGCGCGCAACCCAGTCTAAGTGCCAGAAACGCGCGACCACGCATGCGCCCGCTCCCCCACCCCTCCACCGCCCCGCTTGCGTCCGGCGAGGCGAGCGCGGCGCGGGGCCACCAGGCACCAGACGCCGGCAGACGCGATTCCCGATCGCGGCGAGACGATCTACGATCCGCGCCGATGCGACCCGATCCGTGCCGAGGGTGTCATTCACCGCGAGGTCGATTGAAACCGGTACGCGGGTCCCGCAGGCAGGGTTCAATACTCGACGCGAGGAAGACGGATTTAAAACTTCGCGGCCATGCGCGCGAAGATCCATGCATGAAATTTTATCGAAAGCGAAAGCTCGCTCAGATTGCACACTTCCGATCTTGATCGAGAAATCTGTTTTTTTTTCTTCCCCCTTTTTTTCTTCGCGGCGGAGATCTTCCTCTCTCGTGAGAATGATCGGGAAAGATGCGACTCTTCCAGAAACGGGGTCTACTCGAGGAGGGGGGTTAATCGCCGAGGATTTCAATTACAAATATCGCGTTGCGAGACACAGACGGAGGTATTGTATGTTCTTGATCGCCGCGGAAGCTCTCGGGACGCAAGAAACGCGATAATTTTGAAATGGCTCCGTACTTTTTTTTTCGCGGTTTCGCCGATTGGGAAGGACTAACTTTACACGAGATATTCCTTGTCGTCGCGAACCAATTCTTCTTTCGTTCGGTTCAAACTTCACGTTGGATGATCGAAACTCTGCAAAACTGCATTCGATTATTATATAAAGTGTGGCAATTTTTTAAGCAACGGCGCCAAAGAATTGTTACATTTTTTAATACATACATTTGAAAATAGGAAGAATGGTTGTTTTCGAAGCGTAGTTTTTGAGAAATGTGAATTAAAAGAATATTTACGTATCTTAAACAATGTTATTCTTGATGATGATAATAATTTATAGCATAATTATATAATACATAATTGTACTTTTAAATCTATCTGCAAATATATACAATTATAATATTATAATTATATTAATTATAATAATTATGTGTCATAATTATATAATAAATATAATAATTACAATATTATAATTATATTAATTATATTATAATATTCTAATATTCCATTTCTTAATGTCTTCGACACACAGTTTATAATGTTCAATTATATCTATATATATATATAATTCTTGATTAGGAATATGATACATTTTTCCCTGTCATTACTTAATTATCTGAAAACCACTCGTTTAAGAAATTAATGTAATCCAGGCTCTTATATTTCCTGATCTAAATCATTCGTGTAATACGGAAAAATTCCTTGCGATTCTAACGAATGGAATTTCCGCAAAATAAAAAATGTTATTTTCCAATAATCGAGCTTTTTAGCAATTTGGATAATATTTTTTACATGATTGTCGATATCTATAAAATGCACTGAAAGTGACTCTACTAGTATCACACGGATGACAGTGTCTGCCGTAAGCTAGATTACAACAACGAATAAAACCGTTTGTACAATTAAAGTAAACTGCATCAGTAAAAAAATCGTTCCTCGCTTCGATTTTCTCTATATTACGAAACTATGGCTTGACATACTCCGGCTTTCCATCGCTGTTCCAAACCGTCTTCATTTTTCGGAATGAAAACACCGCGTACAGTGCTGTAAAAAGATTCATTAGCGAATCGGATTTGTTCGGAATTCTTATCATTTTTCTTTTCATATATATACATATAATTCTTTTCAAATCTATATACATTTTCCGATTTTCCTCATGTTTAATTAAAATTCTTATACTCACAAGTGACTTCCCATTCCGACTGCGAGAGAGTGCCGATTTTACGATGATTCGCGGGCAGATTCTGCATGTATTCAACTGCATGCTGATAGTCCCGTTCCGCGTCGCCGAGTAGAGGCGATTCGTGATACGGCGGATAAGTTTCTAGTGCCTGCATATTTCCCAAAAGCGATCTACCCTCGTCTTTGAAACGCTCGTAAAAGTCCTCGAATCTGAATTGAAAAGAATTTTTTGCGATAACAAAAATTTTAATAATATAAAATTCATTTAAATAATATCTACTTAAATTTAATACATATACACGCAATAGTCACTTGAATAACGATTAATGATAGATTTTAGAGGTGTACCTTTCCTCTTACCTTTCAAACGACACTAATTCGAGACCGTACTTCAGCGCCAGCTTGCACAGCGTGGGCAGATGTACGAGGAATTCGGGGCAGTCGACCACACCGTCTAGATGAAAATTGTACTTCGCGCCGAAGAACGGCGGTCTCGTTTTGTCCTCGGACAAAAATTCAACGTTGTACACGTCGTTGCCGAATTTATTACCGTCGCAATTTTGCCACCTGGAACTGTCGAGAAAAAAAAAAGGTGAGCGTGCGCGCCCGCGCTATATTATTAAGGAGAAATACAAAGGCAGAGGAGGAGGAAGAACAAGAGGAAACGTACACCAAATCGTACGCGTCTGGAATGGTCCCGATAAAGTAGCCACCCGGCTTGAGGCTCTCGCTGGCATTCCGTAGCATGCACTCCGCCTGCGGCAAGGACTCGAAGCTGTAGTGGAAAGCGAACTGGCAGCTAACGAAGTCCAGCTGCACGCTGGGATCCGTGAACTTCTCCCTCAAACGAACCTGCAACATTCCTGATTAACAAAATTCCATTGACAAGTGCGTTGGAAGATGCTTGCCACATGGAATTTATTTAGCAGGCAACTTGCAAAGATGCAAGGACGGGGCGTCCCTCTACCTTTGTACAATCGGCCTGTATGAACTCCGCGCTGAAAATGGGCGCGAAACCTCTGTCCTTGGAGCCGTTCTTCTTCATCATGTCGTTGTACCGTTGCCGACACTGTTCCAGCGACACCTGCGCTATGTCCGCGCAGATCAGGTGCGAAATATTGGCCTTCTTCCACTTGAGAAGGTCCCCACCCTTACCGCAGCACATGTCCAAAACTCTGAGCGAAGCACCGAAACTTTTGCCTTGTCTCACTTTGACGACGTATTCATCTGATGAAAATTATACGAGGACTTTATTCATTGCAAGAACAACTGATCATTCAGATAAAAATAAAAAGAATTGACATAAAATCTCAATAATAGGACCAATAAGCCAATTTTAATGTCAAATTTTCTCATTGATAATGAATTAACGTCAGCAGTCCAAAAAGGAGCAAAATATTCATTTGCTCATTGTTTTCAAACTTTAATATTTATAATTATGATTAATTTCGATGTACTGAATAGATTGGAGGTAAAGCAATAGCCTATCGAAATTCGGATTCGATTCTCTCACATGTTCGAAATTTTAAGTAGAAAAATATTATAATTCCAATGTGTCAAAACCACAGATTTCAGAAATCTGTGGTTAAAACACAATATCTAAAGTCATAAATACACGCAATCCAAGATAACTTGGCAACGCATTGCGACACTAGACTTTTTAACACGTTCCGTGTCGCACCAATTTTAAATGATTTAATCACCACGCCGCGTGAATCACCGGTGACCCATGGTATTTGTTTATTTTTATTTTGTTAAATAGTAATTGTAGTTCATAATGGTTAAAAAGTTATTACAAAAATTATTTACAAGAATTATTATTTTAAAAAAAGGTCTAAGGTATATAAATCATCATACATTATGCTCCTATGCACGATATCAGAAATTATTTTGTTTTTTTTTTTTTTATAGCCGAGCTATTTCAAATGGCCTGAACAAAAAATCCAGTGCGAGTCACCGGTGACGCGAGCGTGTTAAAGGACAAAAATGCAAAGACAATAATATTGCATTCCGTGCGTCTTCGTTCATTAGGCCGGGCTTAGGTCATGTCGATCGAGAATATCGGCGTAAAACGCGACACCCAAAGATCGATCTTTTTAGCAACTTAAAGTTTGCTTGGCAATTCTTGAATGAATCAAACGGCTTTTTAAAAGAGATTTACAGTTTATAGTTTCGCATGCAATAAACATGTCGAGTTTTTCTTTCGCGAAGAAGAGCGCATCGTTCCTTCCTTTACGCGCGTGTTCGGCAGTGCGATCGTCTGCATCGAATGCAAATGCGGCAATAATAAATTCAAAAGTTTAAATCTAACATTTTATTGTAATACTGCTAATCAGTATTAAAATTGTTTGCGCTGCTTAAAATTCTCTAAACTTTTTGCACAAAACAGGAGAGAGAGAGAGAGAGAAAGCGATGATTCTGAATGCAAAAAGTGCAATCAGCACAAAGGGATATATTAATTGATTTTTGAAATCAATGATCAAGAAGAATTGGAATTATGCATTTGAAAAGAATGCAATTCCATATAGGCTCTTATTGGTCCTTTTATGATGTCACATCACTCGATTGGCGGCCAAAAATCAATAGTTACTTATAAGCATGCTTTTAATCCAGTTGTTGAAATTTCTCATGTACACGATACGGCTTTGATTTCTCTGCGAGAGGCCCTTTTCCTCGAGGGCATTGTAATGATCGGCTACCAGGACTGTATTGTCGATCTTGTCTACATCAGTCGCATCCTTATTCTTCTCATTATTTGATGTCGTTAAATCTGACGGAACGTTTGAACTCTGCAACAGAAAGTATATTAGCAAAACTTTTAGGATAGTATTATTCATAGTCTAAGCTTATGCTTAAGATCATCTTAATCCTAATTGATGTTGCTCTGGATTTGCTCCGAAATTTCCTTAAATACTTCCTGGCATTCATAGGTTCACTCAACAAAACTTTAAGTTAATGTATCTTTGCTGAAAATTGACATAATTAAATAATTTTTTTCCATTCCTTGGATTTTTCAAAATTATGGAAAATTGCAAAAAACATTTATTATCAATTTTTCATAATGCTATCTGGAAATTTGATGCATAACTGAAAAAAATGTCCTAGTCCACTTACAAATACCGATTAGATTATATTTAATAAAAATGAACAATTAGGACTCTTGAAATTGAAATAGTAATAAAAAAAAATGAGCTACTAAGACTGAGAATTGCATCAATGTTATTTTGACGTTAGCAAGACTTAAAATCAAAGAAGAGAAAAATTTGTGCATATGGCAAATGTAATATCAGCCTTAGGAGTTAGGATTGTGACCAGATTTAGGATATCAATTGAATATATAAGATCGGACGAATATTGCTCTTGGCATTCGCGAGGCAGTGACATAAAATGAAGTCACTCACAGACGAGGCATCTTCCTCAGCGTCGTGCTTCGCTGCTTTCGACGGCTGTTCGCGATCCGGCGATAGCTTGTGCTTCCTACTTTGAGGACTCCCTGCGTCCGTGTTTTTACTACTCGTCTCTGACTTCGCCGCGGTGGCACTGGACGTTTCACTCTCGCTAGTCTCGCTGGAAATCACAATTTGTTTCTTTTAGCTTCTTTACTTTATCCGTGTTCAAAACAAAAATTGCAATATGTCATGTGCAATGAAAATAAATTAACTGGTGGTCTCTCATAAAATCCATAAAATAGAAGCTTAAAATTATACGTTCGCCAACTAATTTGTAAAGGCCTTGTGTCCACAATACCGGAAAGTCTCATACATCAGATTGAGAGAGAATTGATCGATTCGAACGATCCGGGCCAATTGAATTGAATTTGCGATCGATCGATTCACCCTCCGTTCCTTTGAGATCTCAGATCAATTTCCAGCCTCGTGTGGCACCGTAAACGCAAGGCCAGCTTAAAAAATCTTAAAATCGGAACAACGGCACTTTGCCGAGAAACGGGAATACTCGAGCGATCGGCGAGCCAGTCAAATTCAGTGCTACAAAGGCTCGGAAATATTGAATTCGAAAAACAAAAAATATTAGGGCTCGCAGACGCAATGAAAGGCGCTAAGGAATAGGGGAACTGAATATCCGAAATCAGACAAGATCAAAGGCTCGGACAACGAGATTTTTCATCCTAATCCGACTCTTGCCTAATTTCCTATGTTCGATTCCTCGTTTCTCACTCCTCTCTCGTCGTGTCCGAGCCCTCATCGTTACACATTACATCGATGTCAACGATAAAGCGCGGGAGGATGAGAGAGAAAGAGAGAGAGAGAGAGAGATACCTCGCGTGCTGCTCCTTCTCCTCGGTCTCCTCCTCGGGTTTCTCCTCCGCGGGAAGTGCCGACATGTCGACGGCCGCGGCGAAACGACGTTGATTTTACCTCGCGCGAGAAGTCGTTCAGGATTTCGGGAAACGCGAGAGAACCGCGGGACCGTCACACACACACACACGCCAGTCTCACCACTGTGCAGCACGCCGCATTCGAGAACGCGCGAGCCGATCCGCGCTCGTCGCCGATGACGACGCGCTCTCGGCCGAGACGTACGGTTTAGTACGCCGCCGCCGAGGAGCGTCGCCACTCGTCGGGAACGCGCGCAGTGTCGCCAACGCGGAGGCGTCCACGCGCGTGTGCGGGCGCGTTTCAGGACTTTCAGGTTATAAGTTTCACGACAGTTGCGACGAGCCCTTCCCCTCTCGGTAATCTTCAGTTTCCCGCCGTTCCGCCCACGGGTAGAGTCGTTATAGCCGATCGTAAGCGAAGCCGATCGTCTCAGCGGCCGTCTCCAGTTGACTGACAGCCGACAACAACCCGCGCAAATTTTCACGTTTCGGAGAAACGTGAGGTGTCGAGTATCGCCGAGCGAGCGGACTAACATGGGTTATGTGCGGCGACCGGGAGGACGCTGGACATCCACGAGTTCGTCGATCGGACACTTGGAAAGATGGTACGATCGTCCGCAATTGTATTTATTTATACACATCGGAAGCAGACTCGTTTGATGCAAATTTTTTTATACACAAAAAAAAATCAATCGCGCGGCGAGGCCGAGGTGTGTCTCTGAAGGAGTCGCCTGCTTTGTTTACTTCAGTGTCGCCACCACACGCGGATGATCGGGTGGTCGTCTCGGGGAGCGATTGTTGTTGCGCCGACGACGAGGGGGAGCACGCATGGAACGTCGTCCACCGCCGTCGTCCGCTCGGACGCCCCGTCCCTATAACGGCGCGCGCGGGACGTGACCGGACGCGGCTGCCTTGAGGCCGCCTTCGAGAGCTAGTTACCACAACGCCCGGCCAGCCCTAATCTCTCCGCCGCCGCCACCACCATCACCACACGCGCACCACGCGCTCTCATCTATTATCTGATCTAGATTCGGCCCGTGGCGCGCCGTACACTCTTATCTGGCGGCTTATCTAAAATTCAATAAGACTCAAAAAGGATAAACACAGAGTCGCCGCCGCCGCGACGTTTGACCGCCTGCGTTCGAGTCGGCAGCTGAGAGGGTCCCGCTCTTCTTTCCAGCTTTATTCCAGCGATACGAGATCACAGGCGAAGATCCTTGACGTACTGCTACTCTGGAGCTGCTTCTGTGAAACACACGCCTCCGCCACCGTCATGGACGGTTTCTCGCAGGACTACGAGAGCAAAATGGAAGCGTCGTTCGAGACGTACGACGAGACGATAGTCGCCGCGGCGAATCACCATCAGTGCGATCACATCGTTCAGTCCGTGAGCGATCAGGTGCCCGCGCAGGAGATACAGGTGCAGACTCAGGAGAATCACGGTAGCAACACGTTGACGCTGCAGCAGCAGCAGCAGGTGGAGCAGACGCACGCAGCGGCGCAGATCGAGTCTAAGGGCGCGCAGAGAACCTCGGTCAGATTGCCCGCTCTGTTGGACGGGGAGTACTTTACGGTGACCAGGGTGGAGGACACCAACGTTACGGTACGTTGTCAGCAGTGTATGAAACTGCTGAACGGCAATCTGAAGTCCACCGGGAATTTTCTCAGTCACGTAAAGGTAAATTTATTAGAATTCAGAAAACTGATAGAATTGTCGGTGAGAATTTTAACGGGATGAAAAAAGAAGGCTCCTTGTAAAGTCACAGAGTTTAGAGGAAGGGGAGGGGGGGGGGGAGGAGAGTGGACAGTGGAAAGCCTAAGCGCCAGTCGTTGGTGTGCCTTCTACATCTTTTGCACATTTAAAATTTCATTATTTTCACTACTTTCGACGATATTCGACAATATTTCTGCAATTGCATGTAATTAATTGTGCGCCAATGACTGTGCCTTAAACTCTCTCATTGGGCCTTCTTTTGCCATTGAATCATGGCTCAGATGGAGGAATCTTGATTACTCTCGTCAGCCTTGTTACTCTTGTAGCGTTTGCATCCGAACTCGATGGGCAAGATAAGGTGCAAGTCTAGTCAGAGGAAAGCCGCGGTGTACGTCGACTCGGCGTTACCTGACAAAGTTACCTGCCCGGAAGTAGCGCGGGAGAAGCGCGTGTCGCCGCAAAGTAAGAAGCGCTGCAAAACGGTAAGCACGACTCTTTATTTTCCGTTTGCTATTTAATTCTCGATTTCGCCGTCCTACAAGAAAAACAAAATTAAAATACGTGAGTTGTTACTAGAAGAGAGAAGTAATCATTAGTTCGCTTAAATCAATTTTAGGTAGAGATGTCTCCAGTTACTTGAGTATATACGATAGATGACTATTTGAAAGATCTATTCTAAATAATTGAAATATTTACACTTTTCATCATCGTTTAAATTAATCGCACTAAAATGATCCTCTCATCGGCCTTTAGTTTCGATTTTACATCAAATGAATTTCCTTCTCTTCATTTTAGGTAGAGATACCTCGAGTTACTTGAATATATACGATAGATGACTATTCGAAAGATTTATTCTAGATAATAAATATTTACACTTCTCAGTCGTTTAAATTAATTGCACTTGAATAATCTTCTCATTGGCCTTCAGTCACTTCGATTTTACATCAAATGGATTCCCTTCTCTTCGTCACGTGCAAATCACGTTGCAATTGAATTAACGTGTTCGCAGGAGGAATGTGCGATCGTGAACGAGGAGCCTTACGAACAACCACAACAACAACAACAACAACAACAACAGCAGCAGCAGCAGCAGCAGCAACCTGCGGATTGGAACAACGCGGCGTTAATCCGAGGAACCGAGGAGACGGAATCGGCGGATTCCGCCTTGAAAATATCGCACAACAATTCGTTCATGATGGAGGACGAGTACGACGCGATCGGCCGCAACGTCGCCGCCAAGCTCAGGAACATGAGAACGGACCAAAGAATAATAGCTGAGAAATTGTTGAGCGACGTTTTATTTGAGGCTCAGCTCGGTAATCTTCATAGAGATTCGAGTATCCACGTGTGAAACGTGGAGGGATGTACAAAACGGCCTGTGCGTGAGTCGATATACTACCTGTATATCTTCTAGTGAGTCGAACGATCTTTCGCCCGATTTGACCGACGAAAAACGACGAGACGTAATATGATTAATACAGTTATCTGATTGGTTATATAACGCGCAGTTTTATCGATGTGCGTGTACGTGTGTGTGTTTGCGCACGTGGGCGTGAAGATTGTGTGCGCGTGAAGGAATAGGTGGTAATTTTCGTGAATGATATTAGTATTCTAGCCTTATTAAAAACTGAACAAATTCATACTTTTGTGATATACCTTGTAATCTTCTACGCGATCGTCCCGGGATCATTACATATGGATTTTCAACAAGAAAACGAAAATTTAGATATTCTGATGATCCCAGAACGACATACATATGAGCGTATATTGAAAGCCCACGCTTTCGTTTTATATATAAATGTATGATATTGTAAATATTTTCGTAATGTACAAAACCATTGTTAAATAGTGAAATACGCTGCCTAAACTATTAGATTGGTACAAAAAATTCTCTGTTTTTTTATATTTTTGTAAATAATTAAGAAATTTTTTTTGTAAGAGCACCAAAGAATGTTTTCTTAAATGAGAAAAGTGACTACTTTAATGACTTTATGATTTGACTTGGGAAATTGCATACGAGATTTCGTATCTAGCAAAAAAGTTTATTTGGCAAGTATGGGAAGTTTTTGCAACCAATCTAATGACGACTACGTCTAAAAGTCTTTCTTTATATACCAATCACATTTTATGATTAAGACAGTCAACTGTAATATACAGCAATAGCTATATGTATATAAGTTTAATATAGATATAAATATAGATTTAATAAAACGATATACTTTTGTGTAAAATATTCTCGAAATGTCTAAGGCTTTATCAAAAAACTACATGATGTAAATAAAGTAAAGAAAGCCGCCAATGCTCGGAAGACTTCTCCGTCTCTTCCGAAAAGTTCAAACAATCTCTCTCACTCTCTCTCAAGTGTGTATACCTACAGTCTATTTACACGCCTTGCGCGTGTACGAAAGTAAAATAGTACGGAAGTTTCCGATTTCTCAGAAGACTTATCTGAAGGACAGCGCCTCTTCCAACGACCGTCAGCTGCTGTAGACTCTGCGCTTCTTTGGCTTGAACATCGCGTGGTACACCGCGGACGAGAGGACGCACAGCGCCAGGCCGCCGAGGATCGTGCTGAATATGTAGGTGTACCAGAATCCGTCCCAGTCGGCGTTCAAGTACCACGTGAGCGTGAGCGCGACGTTCTGCGTGATCACGAACACGTAGTACGGCAACGTCCACCAGTCGGCGTATTTGAACTTGATCCGGTACTCGATCAGGCTGATCACGTAGACCATACCGAGCCAGAGGTTGACGACGAACGTCACGGCGTCGTAATACTTGGAGTAGTAGAACAGGTAGGCGAGCATGAGGCAGTAGTGCACGGCCATCATCGACAGCACGGTCACCGGATAGAACTCGTAGGCCACGGCGATGGCGAGCACGCGCGCCAGGATGAACAGGAACCACCAGAGGAAGGACAGGAACTTGCCCATCGGATCGTCCTCCTCGAGGCCCTTCATGGAGTACTTGCGCTTAGGAACTTTCAGGCTCTGCACGCTGTCCGCCGCTCTCGCCGCCTCGTCCTCCGTGTAAACGGAGTCCGGACGCGGCGGCGCCGGCACGTCCGGCACCGGGAGCGGCGCGACCGTCGTGATGCCGCGGAGCGGCGTCGGCGGCGGTGTCACGTGCGCGTTTTTCGGCGGTAACGGCGGGGTCATGGAGACCTGACGGTCCAGCGAGACTGACTGAGTCGGGGGCTCCTGCTCGTTCTCGGCCGCCGCGTTCTCCTCCCCCGGCGGCTCGGACGGCGCGCTCACCGCCGGTTGCTCCGGCTCCTTTGCAGGAGCTTGTAACGGCACCTTTTCCTCAATGTTATTCAGTTCCTGATTGAATTGAATTGGACATTAATTATATTTTTTGTATCTAATCGAAGATACGTCCTCTTCTCAATAATATCAAACGAACGTATAATTCAAACAATCATATGAGTTGGAAATTGCTCTTGCGGAATATTATTTTTATAATGATTGTTAAATTGGTCAAGTACCTCAATGCAATACTTCTTCAGCCACATTGCCCAGGGTAGTTTCCTGCCGTTTACACGCTGGCTCTCAAATCTTTGAAAAGAAGCTGTCTTGATGGCTATCACTATAATGGACATAACGATGCAGAGCACCTGTACTGTCACTGCAAGAAAAGTAAATATGTGTCATTAGTGTCTAAAACGTAAACATATACCTATAATATATTTTAATACCAAAAATAGGTTGTTTCTCGAATTATATAAAGAGAAGTAACACAATTCTAAAAAAATTAAGTTTTCCAGACTTTTGACAAAGAAATGCTGACCCAATTCCTTTACGGTAATAACTCGAAAATCACGCTCTGTTGAGTTGCGTCACTTTCGAAAAGCAAGAATGCGATATATAAAGATTCTATATTTTACTTGACTGATAACTGCGGGGCACGGAGCTGTGCCTGAAGAGCAGGTGCAGCTGAAAGATTGCCTGCGGAGCGGCCTGGAACCATGCCTGCAGGAAGAAGTACAATTCGATGGCCGCAGGTGCCGCGGCGACGTTCAACGTCTTGACTCTCTCGTCGCCGGGTAAGATTATAGCGTCCACAGACAGCACGATGAGTCCCGCGTATCTGTAAAAGATGTACTAATTTGTACACACGCGTGGTTGTTTATTATTATTTAAACTCTACATAAACTCTTAAGTAAAAATATACATATATACTGCAAGTAAATTAAGTAGCTTTTAATTAAATGAAGCAAATAAAATGATGGAAAATCGAGCAAGAAATACCTGTACAGTACGAAGAACGCGAATCCCACGAAGTGACACGCTTGCAGAGCGAACCAGCCGAGGACGCCCTTCGACACCTTGTCGTCTTCCGTCATCCACCAATCGGGCCTCGAAACCGTCAGTACGAAGTATATCAGCGCCGGCGCGTAGATGAATGTGAGGGTGGCCATGCCCCATAGCGGATTGTCCTCCTTGAAGTGTTGAACAGCTACCACCAAGTCAGCGGCGAAATGAATAATGTACACGACACAGTTGATTAACGTCGGCACGAGGAACACCAGGTATATCTGCTCGGTCGACTTGAGCGGGATCTTCATGCAGCGCGTGGACTTCCTGCGGCAAACTGTGTTTGCCTCGGCGTTCACGGAATATCTCTCTCTCGCCATGGTTTCTTTGGAGCTAACGAGTTTACCTCATCATTATCTCTACGATATGTATCACATATGTTGCTTTAATAAATATTGACCGAGTTCTTTAGCTGCCTGAAAAAAGAGGGAATACAATCAGTAAAAGAGAACCGAAGGCAATCGTGAAGATATTATCCATTAATTATTCACTCTATCAGAATAAAATAATTATTTACAAATGAGTTAGCATATGAAAGAAAATACATAATAACTTGATTTGACATTAATTCAAACGCAAAGATAATTGCAAAAATAAGAAAGAGGATATATTTATGTCCACTTCTATACCAATAAAATTTAATTTTAATCTCAGTTTACTTTATCCTTTATCTTTTCCTAATCCTTATAGAATTAGAAAACAGAGGTAAGTTAAACCTGTGATTAAAGTTAATCCACATTGGTAGAAATGGACAGTAAAAAGAGTTGATAAACAATCGACATTCGTAATTTACCTAAAACGAGCAGAGTTCAGTCGTGATCGACGCTCCCAAGTCTCTCTCGAGCGGATCATCTCAACGATAAGATTGCGCTGCCTACTTCAACAGGTAGCGCACGATCATGCCGAGTCCACCTTTCGTCAAGCAGTTCACGTCATTTCGAAGTACCCGCTTCTTCCTCTTTTTTTCTTCTTATTAGCCTTCGATTCCGAAGACTCGGAAGTATCGCGATTCCGATCGACGAATTCCTGAACCTTCCCGAACCGTCCAGGACTTCCAGACGTGTGTTTCAACGCGCGGCGGTTCCAGGAAGCAGGAGTACAGTTCCGAGTACCGCTTGCCGCTCCACTAATTGCCGCGAGCTGCCTGAAGCGGAACCGAGCTGGCAGAACTTCCCGCGACGGGAAACTCACGGCGAGGAAAATTTACTTCGCACAATCGCGGGCCCTCGCAGGCGGCTCGCCGAGATCGCAGGGAATCTTAACGGTGGGAAGGGAGCCGAGCGCGGCGATTCCGTGAGCGCCGCGCGCGTATCGGCGACGATCGATTAGTCAGCGCGCCGTACGAAAGATAACTCGATAAGCTCCCATATTTCGCAAGGTGGCGATAAAGCGTCCCCCGGGTACCGCCGCGCGCCGCCAAACGGGACAGGTTATGTTGGCTACCTGTTTCCTTCCTCTTTTTTTTGTTTTTGTTTTTGTTCCCCTCGGTGCGGACGCACGCGCGCGACCGCGTCGCGCGAGAGTGCCGTAGCACTCGCGAGGGCTCGCGTGCCCCCGCTGTCAAATGTACGGCGTACGTATGCATGCATACGCATCGCGGAGATTTAATTCGCGATCGAGTCGAGCTAACCTAACTTGTGTAGCAACAGATATACATATGACTTTTGCCGGACCGATTACATTTTTATTTCGTTGCGTTACATTTTTTTTTTCTATATATAGGTAGGCAGAGACTCTCGATGGCATTAATAAAAGAGGACGATAGCGAATCACTTTTCTTGTCGTCAATCTTGCCCGGTTGATGCGGTGACCTAACTTAACCCAATCTAATCTAATCGAAGATATCCTCACCTAAAAAAAAATTCGAGATATTGCACCCAAAAAAATCGAAGATACCTTGCTTTACCGAGAAATCTACGTCTCTTATTTTGCTGCGTTGCTCTATGTATTTTTTTTTTTTTCCCTATAACTTGTATAAAACTGCGTGCTCTCGTTCAAGGATTATTAAAAGAGAACAATAACGAATTAATGTTCTGTTTGTTTTTTTTTTATATCTTACTTTACCGAGAAATTTACGCCTTTATTTCGCTACGTTGCTTTACGTTTTTTTTTCCATAATTTGTGTATATTGTGTGCTCTCGTTGGAGGCAAGAGGATTATTAATAAAGGACAATAATAAGTGAGATGCTCTCCTTGTCTTTTTGATTTGCAATTGATAGAATGAAAAAAGAAGCGTTTTTTTTTTTTAAAGAAACATCTTTCTTTCACTCTCATTCTTGTCTTCTCCAACACATTGTACGATGGAGTGTGATGGAGCACATCCAACTGCACATATCTCTATCCTTTGTTCATCAACTCATCGCATATGAAATAAGTAAACGCACAGTATTTGTATAAATTTTTGTTTTCCACCAGTCTAAAACGACTTGTCTTCTTGAAATAAAAAGAGGAAGATTTAACAAGAGCTGCTATGCGAAAATACAGAAGAGAAAAACGCGAGACAATTTGACCGACAGAAATTTCATCGAAGAGAAAAACGCGAGACAATTTTATTGACAAAGTAGCACTTTATTCATATGAAAAAGTAATACAACGTTAGGGCCTGTGCTTAATTTCTTTCTTCGAATTATTTTCAAAGCGTACGCTAGGAGACAATTACAAGGCCTTAAATCTCGTTCTTTTCTGGACTCCATATCTGTGTGTCTTGCGTGTGTAATGGTGCTCTACTTAAGACTTTCAAATTATACTCTGACCGAAATACGAGGATCTTCGCGTAAGTCTGCTCTAACTGCGAATACACTACTTATTTATTTAACAATATCCATTCTTCGCAGAAGTCACTGTCATTCTAGATTATAATATAGTCACTTGTATAACTTGCTACATAAAATAACGGTACATTATTCCAGTCACTTTTTTTTTGTATTTTGCATCTTGTAAAATATATCTCGTAGATCTCTGCGATTATCAGCGATCATCGATATCTCTTTCAAACACCGTCTAACACCGAGCACCCAATTCGTCACCCAATATACGTACATATGTATATATACACATACACGTATGCATATAATATGTAATATATACACACATGTATATATAATATGTATATGTAATATATATACGTATGTATATATAATACATCCATTGCTATTCGGTTGAAGTTTTGAAGCTTCTTAATCCAAGAGCTCTTAGTGCTACATTAATCTTAAAGATACTAAATTTCCTTTCCTCAACTTCGCCTGGTATAAAAAAAGTTCGACTTCGAACCCTTTTTTAAAAAATCTACAGTTAGCTTTGCATGTATCAATACAGAAATAATGCCAGAAAAAAGGGGGGGGGAATATTCTCTCTACAAGAGGTGGGTAAAAGTATTTTAAATAAACAAACACGATGTGATGCTCGCTCTATCAATCAGGAGTTTGCAAACTAATTGTAACATCACAAGAGCTATTTTATCGCGGTTATCTGTATAAAATGATTAATGTCAAGTTTTGCGATTGATCAATTAAGATCTCGCAACGCCATCTAAATATATGATTTTGTTTTCCGTGAGGGAGAATCAAAATACAGGAGTCTCACAATTAAAACAATTCTCTTCATCTGTGGGTGTACGTAAAAGCGCTGTCGAGTGTGTGTATGCGTGCCATTTTCCAAGGGTATGAATTTATATATAATTAAGGAGGCAAATTACGGGGAAATTTCCCTGGGCCCTTTTTCTTTTACCAGAGCTCGCCGTCCTTCTCCTTCGCCGGAACTTCAATTACTCGCGGCTTGTCGATTATTCTAGCCGTGCGAAGTCCTTTCTCCACGATGCCGATGATCCACGCTTGGTATCCCTCCTGTTTTTCGATGTCTTTACAATACGCCGCGGCCTGCGGAACACAATTCACAAGTCTAAGAAATCGTATCAACTTTTTCTTGATATTAAAACCGCACCTAACCGCGATCTGTCGATTAGATTCGTAGGTTTCGCTAAATTTGAACATAATTTAGCCAAATTAATGTATGATAAATGTATAGTATTGTAGGAGAGTTACAAATATTGATATATTAAATATATTAACAATAAATAATGCATAACATCTCCCGTTTCTCTACCTGCCATTCTTTAGAACATCTCACGAATAAAAGATGTTCTACTGTATTGACAGGAAAACAGATCTACAATTCATAAGTGTATGAGCGAGAAAAATATTATACTATATAATGAGCTGATCGAAAATCGGATCTTTCGCTTGTCAGACGAGCGTTCTTAACATTAAAGCTATACAGATCTCGTGCATTAATATTTCTCCGATCTAATTGTATCTGATACGCTATGTCTGAAAATAAATTTGATTTATAGTGTAATACGATTTGACGAGCAACTTATTAACCTGTTCTCGAGGAAGGCAAATGAGCAGACCGCCGCTAGTCTCGGCTGAGTGACCCTGTAATAACTGGAACATGTTTCCGCATGCCTTCGCTACCGCAGCCATCTTAGAGATAACAGGGAGATTGTGAATAACAAAGGAAACTTCGTTCTTTTGATGCTTCGCCAGATTCTGAGCGTGTCCCAGAAGACCGAAACCGGTGACGTCTGTGGCTCCATGCGCGTTGTACTTATGCATCAGTCTAGCAGCTGGAAAATCGAACGGTCATAATTAATTTCAATTAATAAACGATTTTATTACAATTGGTTTCAATGAAATACCGTGAATGAATTTTACATTTGATTATTTCTTAAGTTGTAAAATTGAGGTAAAAAGCGATCTTCCCTCAACACTTTCAGAGAAAAAAATCTTAACTCCAAGTTGGTCTGAGAAATTGTTATTAAAATTAAGTTTAAGCTATCCTGTGTATATGCTATGCGATTTATATTAGGAATTAACTTAACGACTTTATTGTAATTAATTTTAATGAAATATCCTCTAATAAATTTTAAATTTGATTCTTTCTTAAGGTGTAAAATTGAAGTAAAAAGCGGTCTCCTCTCAACACTTTTAGCGAAAAAAAATCTTAATTCCAAATTGGTCCAAGAAATTGTTAAAATTAAATTTGAAATATCCTGCGTACATGCTGCGCGATTTATATTAGCAATTAACGAGTTTATTATAATTGGTTTTAATAAAATATCCTCTAATAAATTTTAAATTTAATTTTTTCTTAAGATGTAAAATTAAGGTAAAAAGCGATCTTCCCTTAACACTTTCAGAGAAAAAAATCTTAACTCCAAGTTAGTCTGAGAAATTGTTATTAAAATTAAGTTTAAGATATTCTGTGTATATGCTGCGCGATTTGTATTAGCATTATATATTATGGCATGTACCTGTTCTGTTCAACCTAGCCATACTGTCCATTGCACGTTGATAGCCTTTCCGTACATCCTCCTCGCTCACTACGAGCTTGATTCTGTTCCAACGGTCGGGCTGGTCGAGCCACTGATGCGCGTTGACGGCAACTTGTGTACCAAGGGGTTTTGTTAGGACCAATACATCTCCAACTACGGCGTTATCCGGCCTGAATTCAAGAACAACCATCAAAGAAAAGCTTAGTGCCAAATCTATCAACGTCGATACTTTACGCTAGCCATAATTAATTAATTACGTACACAATATACTCGTTTGGCTGGCAAACGGTAGTAGCCACTCCACCGATGGTGCACCAGGGATTCACGACTGTCTGGCCACCCGTCACCGTGGTGCCCGCATCCAGAGCGGAATCCTTGAATCCTCTCATAATTAGCGGCACGACGACGTCGCGCTCTTTCTCCGTCATCTTCGTGCTGACACCCAGCAGCATCAGCATGTTGTCGCAGTCCGTGACACCCATCGCGTACAGATCGCTGAGGACATTGGTGCACGCGATTTTACCTGGAAGATACCTCTCACAGCAATGAAGGAGACGAAATAACACGATATATGTATTGCATTATATAGATCTCAATTTGCATTGTTTAATATTCAATTAGACTTATTATAAATATCTCATAATATTTCACGTGTTCCAATCGGCTCGTCGTCTTCTTTCTTACCCATCATATAAGGATCGTCGACTAGCGGGTAAAAGAAATCTGTAGTCTGCACCAGGCTAAGCCCGCCGTGTCGCACCGGCGTCACGGAGGAATCCATGCCAATTCCTGAAACAACGTTGTAATTCTCTATTAGGCTATTGCAATATAAACTTACACAATTTGTTCACAAACCATAATTTAAATATGTTTAATGTTATCCCCGCTTTTACAACATACAAATTTTACAATATAAAATTTAACTGCACGTTTTATCAGATTTTCGGATTTGAATGTTATACACAAAAACAAAAATTTTGAAAAGTGTATTTGCTCCAAGAATGTTTCAAAAATTTTTTTTAACTAGCAAAAAATTGTAATTAAACAGTACATAACATTTTAATGTATTTTACTTGTTTGAACGTTTTAATAAAATTCATAATAATATGTTTCATTGTAAATTTGCGAATCGGTCCGGCAAGCTAAGGAACACGTTGAGGTTGAGAACATCTGCGCATCCGGTGCCACGAGAGAAATTGGGCGGGAGACGACACGGTCGCCATGTTACAGCAGGGCTGCCTTGCGGCACTTTCAGGCCCCGATAAATTTAGCAAGAAATTACAATTAGAAAAGACTCCAGTCCAACTTTGTGTATCATATATCCGGATTTTTCGGAGTACACGTGCGAAATCAGATGAGACTGTTCTGTGAAGTTCGAGAAAAAGGAAAAAACAATTCTCCGAACATGTGTCGATATTTTTTTAATGCAAAAATCGGATTGAGAAGAACGGCGAAGGAGAACGAGAGAGAAAGATAGAAAAAAATATACACGGTGATCGAAGATGCCGGCGCCGCGGCGTGCAAGCGCGCCGCAACAGGGGGCTCGGCTCGCTCGTGTTCGTAAATTCATTCGCGCAATTCACTCCACTTGTATACACACTTACCGATACGCGGAATCGCCATGTGCATAAAGTGGGCATGCTCGTGGTCCTGTGCGGACGCGTCGTCGGCCTGGAGTCCCTCGAGGAGCTTACCAAGAACCTCCTGAGGGACTTTACACCCTCATCCTTTCAGGTCGGCGAATCGCGTCAGGCGGAAGGACGCATCGAGATCATGCGCCACCGGGTCGAACGGCCTGCGCAGCGCCAGGGCATTCGGATTCCCCTCAAGCTCGAGCTGCGCCACGGCCAGGGCGTCCTGTGCCACCGGGGTGCCCTGCAGCTCCGCCATCTTGCCGGAACGGACTCGTTTACAAGGCGATGATCAGGCGGTGCCGAGTCGGTTTTTACGCCTTTGCCGGCGCGTCGCGGCCCGCGTCGAAAACAGTGAGAAAACGCGGCGAATAACGGCCGGAGCCGGAGAACCCGCGCCGGATCCTCTTGTCTCTACTTTTTTCCCTCTCGCGCGCGCGCGCAAGTTGCCGCCGCACCGGGTAGTGTGTTCTCACCCGCTCGTCGTACGCCCCGTACCGGACGCGAACGCCGCCGAAGGACAGCCACTGGATCTCCCGCGCGCGAACTCCCAGCAAATGGGAATTATACGGTTCCGCACCGGCGTCGACTAACCGGGACCGTACGCGTCGACAAAATGGACGCGGTAACTGCCGGCACGGCGATACCGAGGGCGCGAGCGAGCCCCCACGATGCCACCGCCACGGTGTCGGCCGCGCCCGCCGATTGGCCGATTTCGAACTCGCGCACCGACGCATCCACGGCGCCTCGTTCCGCAGGGCCGTATCGCACGGCGCGGCCGGCCACCGCCCTCAAGAGTGCCGCGCGGCTTTAGCTTCGTCGCCGGAATATACACTTGACTCTGGCCGAGTTCGTCCTACGTCCGAGAGATTTGCGAAGTGCTTTTGCGAGTCTAAGCATTGCGATGTATTCAAAGATGGAAAATACTGCGGCTATATACGCGCGTGGGAAATTAGCAAGAGAAAAACAGCAGTCGCTTGGTAATAAGTGTATATTGTACTTTTGGATATACTAAAATATAACCTAATTCTCTTTTACCTTCGTTGCATTAAAAAAATTGATCTATCTAAATAGACGATTTATAATTCATCTGCCTTAGCACATTCTTTAAAAAGATCGTTTCCTTAGTGCAGTCCAACTGAAACGATCACGGGAGTAGAATGAGGAAGAGGGGGGAGGGCTGTCTGTACAGATTACAAATTTAATTTCATTGTCGCAAATTGTCGATTTCTGCGAATGACGTTTACTGGGAATCGACACATTCGCGCGAGCGGCATGTGTTTCGTCGCCCGATGCACCGTTCGACGACAGGTATTATTCATATTTAATCCGCATTGATCCCCTAGTTCAGACACTTCAGGCGAGCTGTTCTTACTTTTGCACAGCGGCGGCAGTTCGGAGCGGCCGATATTATGCGGAGTAGATGTAAGTATATGTTAACATGTGTGCGTATACACCGTGTGAATACCGTGAATACCACGACGACATCGGCCGAAGTCCGAAGTAGCGGTGCCGAGGTATACCGAAGTCCGTCGTCGCGAGACGATCCGTGCCACCCATTGGTCGTTTCTCCGCGTTCGTCTCTGCCATTCGACTCGGACACGCCGCGTTATCGCGACGAGCCAATCAGCGCGCCGGCGTGTCGCCAGTGGTTCCCAAACAGCGGCTTCTCCCCAGCTGTATTAGATTTTATTTAGTTAATTTATACACCGTGGAAAATAAAACGGAGAAACTTACACCTTCCTCGCGAGGAAGAAGATTATACATGTAAATTATTTCATATTCTAAATGCAATTCAGGTCAGTTATCGACTCTGCATATGTAATATCGTAATGTCAAGATTTATATAATTGTGATTATAATTACTGTATGCATCGTTACAATTATTATACGTAAAGATTTATTCAAAAGATGGCGCGATTCGTAAAAGCCATGCAAAATTTTGCAAAAATCTCGCAGTTCTAACGTTTACACGTGAACAGAACGCGGGTCTCGCGTTCAAAGTCGTCGCAAAGATCCAATGGGTGAACGTTGAAAAAACTGTCCGCGAAATGTCCCCGGACGCGCGAAATACGTGGCGTACGGTCGTCTTGGAATGCTGTCCGGCCGATGATCGTGAGCCCAGCGCTGGTATTCTCTTCCCTTCACGACGTTTCCCGCGCAAACCATTCGTCTACGGTTCGCTCTCCGCGAGCTCCATCGCGAACGTGTTTCTGTATTTTCTGTATTTTCGCAGAGAAACGTGTCTGCAATCGTTCGACTACTGATCCAACTTTGGAACGACTTTTATCCGAATTTACGGTCCGATTAATCGTGGACGACTTGCGTCAAGTAGTCTCGCTTGAACGGACCGTATTGTGTTTGCGGATTAAATATTTGCATCGTATTCAGACACGTTAACAGAATCGTGGACATCACAAACGGTGTCTTGAAAGTTGGATAAGATTACATACATACAAGATGAAATTTTTTCTCTTCATTATATATCCCAGAGAAGTTAATTATTTAATAAAATAAAAATCTTGTGATGAAATTATTCTATACGAGAAATTTATAATGATTTTACTTTGCAATGCTGATTGCAACACTATATATATGTAAAATAAGAGAAGATGAAAAGAGATTTTCATTGATTAATAATTAATTTTATAACTATGTAATGTAAAAAATGGACTGCATAAACAATATTATCATTTTAAATCATTTTTATGCGTGTTTATTGATTATCAATAATGATGGCATCTACTTTATTAGTCGATATGAAAGGAAATGCATGTATCTGCAAGCGCTGCAAAATTTGCATATATACGATATTTTTCTTGCAGTTGCATATTTAAATTTTAAAAGTCATTGCATGTAAAATAATTTTAATCATAAGATCATAAGCAAATGAACGAATCACAATTAAAATTGCTCTCTCCAGCAGAACAAAAAGTCAAGATGTCATCCAAATAGCGTCAAAATGATTATTAAAAGTTATTTTTCGATCAGTCACAATTTACTTTAACGTGAATTTGACGTTATCATCACTTGTTCTGCTTGGACTTATGTGTGAAAACGTTCAGTTACGATTAATCAATATGCTTACAGTCTTACAGTTAGGATTAAAATTTTTTTATATGTGATGACCTTTATGGAAAATCCTTTCATCGAAATACCTTAGAAGTTGTACTTACTATACAATGTGAAATAACAGTGTCTGTTACATTTAATTTAAAGAATGTAAATCAAAATCAGAATCTCGATAAAATACTATCCTTAAAATTATTGTACGTGCAACAAAAACAAAAAAATTTTAATCTCCAAAGTTATGAATTAAAGTAATGAATTCTCCAATTACTCATTATTATTAACTTTTCTTGATATTGATAAAATTAATGTTATCAAAAAATTTTTAATCCCTAATCAGTAATCATGAGAATATAATTATTATAAAAAGAATAATAATAATAATAATACTACATTATATTGAAATAGTAAAAAATATTTTTCGACAATAAACGACATCGTCACGTTATTTATTGTTTTATCCTTATAATTCCATTGATTTAGTGTCATTGGCTTTATACATTAATAATAAATATTATTATTATTCTTTCTCCCTAAATGCATTCCTAGTTAATTTATCAAGAGGAAAAAAGGTAATTTAACATTTTTCCAAAAAGTCGCGAAGAGAAAAAATTTTATTAACAAGAGAATTCATCGGGGCATCGGTATTTTCGCCGAATAGAGTCGAATGGAAACTCGACCACACAAACACACACACACGCACACACACACACACATATCCGCGAATCTAATATGATTTTGACAGATATGACTCATTGCTGCGCGAACTTATCGCGAGTGCACGCGCACCGAAGCGCGCGCGCACCGCGTCGTCGCACTCCCGTCTCGTCCGGTTTCGCGTCCGTGTCGCGGCCCCGTCCCGTCCCGTCGCGGGTCACGATCATCAGTCTCGCTCGCGCGTCCGACCGGGCAGGACCTAGTCGTGGTGCGCGCGTGGCGTGTACGTGTGTATGATCGATTGCGGGGTAGTCGCGAGCGCGCTCCTTCCCAATTTCCGCGACGATCCATCCGACACATCGCCGTCGTCGCGGTGCCTATCGATCAGCGCTCATCCTCGAGATGACGTCGCGGCCGCGCCGTCACCCTCGCTGAAGCCTCCTTCTCCCCCCTCCCCCCTCTTGCCTCGTCTCACCAGCTGCTCCTCCCCGTCGATGAAGCGGCCCCGTCGTCAGGATGATGCAGGACGTCTCCGCCGGCGCACCCGCCGCCGACGATCAGCATGCCGCCTCCAAGTCGGTGCTGCTCAACACCTTCGTCGTGAAGAAGAAGCGGTGCCGCGTATACTTTCATCGCGGCATGCTCATCTGGGAGACCGAGCGACCGCCTTACAGTAAGCGTCGATCGCGCCGGGGTCTTTCCTCGACCCGCGCGTGAAATTTTCACTTTACGAGCGTACTTACACGTTTCGCGGATCGAATGTGTAAATATGCGTTGGTCGTTCACGACGGCACCTCGATTTAAATGCGGCTTCAATCGTCGGCGACGGGATTTTACTCCGAATTTTCGTCGGACGTTTTATCTCCACGTGCAGAATGCTATACAGTTGATTATATGTATCTCGTCGACCGCGCTAGGAATTTTCATTTAGGAGCGACACATTTCTCGGATCGTCATTTTATTAACAAATGTATAACTGTTGATAGAATGGCGATCATAATTTATCATAATTTATCGTAATTATTCATTCTCCTATGATTAACGCGGAAATTCTAACTATTCGGCAAAATTCTTTTCGCCGATGACGAAATTCGTTCCGAGTGAGTTTTCTACGGATACAAATGAATGCTACATTAATTATTATCTCGTTAATCACGCGGGGAATTTTCAATTAAGAGCGACACGCTTGGGAACACGAGCGTCGTTACATCATAAATGTATCGAATAATCAAGGCTGTATCTTGATTAACGCGGAAACGATTTTCATTGGCGATGAGACGGCCTCTTCGAGTAAATTTTCGTTGGATATAAACGGATGCTATAAATTAATTATTATTTCATCAATTGCGTGAAAAATTTTTACTTAAAACCTAGGTTTTGCCTAAAACCAGGGTTTGAAAAAATATTATATTTAAATTAAATACATATAAAAATATCTGATATCGACATATTGGATATATTCAAATGTGAATATTGATAAAATTTTTCTAACTTTCTAAAAAGTAAATCAAAAGTTACGTGTTAAAATTTTTATTGTGTTTCTGAAAAACTATTAAAAATTGTTTATAGATAATTTATAGATATATTTTCTGTAGAAAAATATAAATATAAAAATATAGATGATAAACTGTGATAAGATAATACATAATATAAGAAAATAATTATCTATCATGGCTGAAAGATATCGTTATCTGATTTTGTAGCACTTTTAGCTATTTGAAAAAAAAGTTATAATCTCGTCATTATGCAATGTAAATCCGATGGATGATAAAGATTCGCAAAGAATAATAAATGAAGAGAAATCCTTCAAACTTAATTAGAAAGAACCATGCCATCAGGATCAATAATAACGAAGCGTTGCAATTAATCAGTTTAAAGTTTAAATTGTTAGTTCTGTGAATCTGATATTATCATAATACATATGTCAATTAATAAATATCATGATTTATATCCGATATATATTTTTCGAACCGTGCCTAAGAACGACATATGTCGACTAATGTCGAGTGGATTGATGCCACCTTGATTAATGTGGAAGTGGTTCTAATTGCCGCGGCGACGAGAAATCCGCTCCGAGTGAATCGTTTTCGGATACAGATAAGTGCTACATTAATTATCTCGTTTACCGTGCGAGAAATTTGGACCGTTCCTCGATTAGCTTGTCATTACACAAAAGAGTCTCGAATAATCACGACTGCTCGTTTAACGCCGCGGAAATGATTTTAATGATCAGCGACGAATCTCCCAAATTAATTGTTTTTTTAGATAGACGGGCGACTGTATATTAATTAAATTATTACCTCATCGGTGACGGGCGCGTTTCATTTTTAAACACGAAAATACCGGATGCCGAAAGGTCAAGATTGTATTTTAATTAAGGCTAGATTTCTTGATCCTTGGTAACGTCCTTTCGGAGCTGTCTCTACTCCAAGGATAAATCGCCGTCGCAGAATTGCCATTCCATCGACGGGACAACATTTTTTTCGTCGGTCTCCCCTTAATTCGAAATAACGACTACCTAATTCCACGGCTAACAATAAGTTAGCTCGCACAATTGAAAATTAACGTCGGCGCTGAATCGTTTCGTCAACGACGTGTATACGTTTCCACTTAGCAGGGAAATATTGAATACTCAATTTGCCAGCCGGTTAGTTTAGTTTGCCTTCGGAGAGTCGTCGGGATTAATGGAGTAAATTGTTCGCTCCTGATAGACGCGCCCGGCCAATCCCGCCCCGAAACCCGGCAAATTCTCGGCAAACATACAGACAGGGCAAACGACAAGCTATAATTGTAGAGGTATATAATAATTGTAGGTATACAATAATTTGTCGACGGCGCGTCTCTCCTCCCCCCCTGACCAACTTTTCCTTGAAACGCGCTTCCTTCAAAGACGCGAACGGACGCAAATGACAATCAACGCTAATTGGATTGTAATTATTGCCCCGTCGTGAGACGTGTCTTTCGTCCGCGAGACTCCTCTTTCGGCCAGAAACGCCAAATATTATTTTATACCGCGAGGTCAATTTTGGCCCTCCTCTCACTCGGAACTGCATTGCTATCGCACGCGCAAGTTGATAAAATCTATTTATTATCAAGCTCGCGAATCTGATAAAATCTATCTCTTCTTTCCAGATATTCGCTGAGACACAACAACTTTTTGCGGACGGTTTTTGCGTTCGTCGCATTTTTGCTTGGAAAATTCCAAGATAGATTTATTTATAATTTCATCACGGTTTATTTATTCAAAAAACGGGTCTCGCATAATGCGATAACCAGTCTTGAATAAGACGTAAATTCCTCGCGTATTCGATAAAGTCCGCGCTCTCGGCTGCAGGATCTAGACGCAGTCACACGCGACGGGCCAACAACTTTTCGTGTCGAGGCTTACGCTCGTGCACGGCTCGCTCTCTCGCCGTTCCCCGTTCCCGTTTTTCTTATCCTCCTCCCCGTTCACTTTTACCTTACCTCCGAGGATCTCTCGACTCGACTCGCCGCGTCACTTATCGCGCGGCTTCGCGCGTTTTTCCGAGCAAGAAAGCCGCAATCGCGGCGCGAACGACGGGCCGGCCCATCCGCTGGCTGTTTAGCCTCGCACTATATAATTAACTATTTAAATTCCAAGGTCGGAAAATGGAAAAACACACGCGCGTTCATCGTTAAGTTTTATCAGCGCGAATCTCTCATTTAAATTCCATTGTCGGCCCGTCGGGCCTGTTCTCTTCAGCCGAAACTTGTTCACTTGGTTCGTCTTTCCTCTTCTTCTCTCCACGTTGACGAAAGAAAGAGAAAGGACGAACGGTGCAAGGACATGAAGTTGAAAGGAACGGGTCTATCGACTTGCCGTCCACCGAACCGCCGGCAAACGCGTTTGCGAACGTGCGTGTGGTTGGCGGCTGATAAAAAGTCCGTGGGGCAAAAAGCCGTTACGTAAGAGGCTCGTCCAGGGTCACACGACGAATCCTGCATCTCGCATGTGTTTTCCGCGCTCGCGGAGTTACATAATAATTGTCTGAAATACGGCTTACGTTAAATTGTTCCTTCTCTGTCCTCCCTCTCCCCCCCCTCCTCTCCAATCTATCTCTCTCTATCTGTCTAGCCGATTGCTTCTTAAGGCCAACGAGCGCTTATTAATACAACTCAAGCAATTCAGTGCTACAAGGTGGATCGGTGTGTGTCGCGAGTTAGGTGGTACGCGTTAAAAGAACACAACGCCTGTGTGTCGATTGTGCCTAGCCTTGACCTTCCAATTGGTACAGCGTCTTTTGCGACGGTAGATGTGTAGGCATCGCGTTGTAGCTATTTAAAAAAAAAAAAGAGGCGGACAAGATGCATGTATACAGACAGGAGTGCTGTTCTATATAATTTGCATTGTTACAGGATAATAAATAGGGGTAGAGTGGAATTTTTTCTTAGACGCTTCTTTGACGGACTAATCTATAACGCAAGGTCTAATCCTCGACGAGAAGCTGGATTAATCGCATTAAGAACGCGTCTCGCAAAAGGGGAATAAACAAATAAAGTATACATTTATATAAAACAATTACAATTTATATAATAAGGAAAGCGAAGTTTGATAAATCAATTTTTTGAAATTAATTTAAGTGTTGAATAAAATTGGGACGAAAAACAAAGAGAGAGAGCTCGAAAAGATATTGAGTGTCAAAGACTGATTTGATAATTGAGGAAGGTCCATTAAAGATATCTAAATGACTGATGAAGTAAAATAAAAACTTTTATATAGCAAACTATTAGAAAATTGTTTTCTAAATTATTTGTCAAAATTTTGATCTAGTTTTAGGCTGCGTTCCATTTGTAACGCTCGCAACACTCGTGGAATCATTTCATCCTTGTTGTTTTCTAAATGTTAAACAAGGACGAGAAATGCTCACGAGCGTTGCGAGCGTTAAATGGAACGCGCCTAATCGCTTCTCGAAACAGGTCTTTTAGATTTTGCAAAAAAGTTACTGAGACAACCATTTACACTACGCGCATAATCCTACAGTTGCGCGCAAAAAAAAGAGGTTTCATATAATCAAATGAAACTTCCTCGTGCATTCGAGATGATCCTCACTTGTGGATTTACTTTGTCAACTTCGAGAGACGAGGACACCACACGAGGAATACCAATAAGTTTTCGGCGATCCGCTCACGTAGATAGGAAACACATGTCGATACTCGCCTCGTCGTCCTTGGTCGCGATTTGCATATCGTTCCATTTCCTCATACGACCGTGCCCGCCCGCGCGTCATGAATATTAAATAAAATAGCGATAATCACACCGCGAGTGGCTGCAGCGCGCGCGTATCTTTATAACCGCGTGCTCTCCAGCCCCACATTTCAACAATGAGATCCTTGTAACGTGCTCGCGCATTCCGTCCGATACTACGTGATGGTTAATCTTTTGGCTTGTGGAGAAAGCGATATCAGTCGAATTTTGACAAAAACAGGGCGTTGATCGAACTTTAACTTTAAAAATAATTGGTAGAGATTATTTTTAAGATATCAGATATTTTCGAATAATTTCAAAGCTCTCAAAAAATACCTTAAAAAATGTCGTAACTAAATTGTATTTTTTAAGATATTACCTGCTTTACATAAAAAAAACTCGTTATTCGTTTTTCTTCGCGAATGCACTTCACCGAGCGTTACTCCCAGGCTAACTCAACAAGACAGTTACGTTAATACTTCATCATCGTCGCGATCGAAAAACCTTGTAGAGCAGTCTTTTTGTCACGCCTGCGTCACTCTCGTCGTCGGAAATATCCAGAGAATAACGACCGATCGAAAATAGCGTTGCTAATTTCGCGCCGGCGATGCGACTCGTCGACTTTAATAGCGGCCGTTTCGGCGTGTTGCAAGCGAGGCAAGTGCAATGCCTGCAATCTTTCACTTTCCACCGTTCAACGCTATCCGCTGGTGTTTCTTGCGGTATACGTTATCCCGGTCAGACAGGAGAAACCTGTCTACGAGCGAGAAACCGGTATATTGTGTGTCAACGACCTAATACGGCATGCACCATCTATCTCTTTTAATTATTGTCGTCGAAAAGTCCCATATAGATTTCTAAACTCGTTAAACACAGCAACTCTGGAAAAGTCACCGGAAACTCACTGGTTTCATATAGCGGAAAGAGCGATTTTGTTGAAAGATTCTAAAAAATTTAGTTGGATACTGCAGCAGATCTGAAAATAATCTTGTTGGATCATCAAAATAATTACGTTGGAAATTCAATGTTGATGTGCACAAAATGTTGATATTCTAGCAACCAGCGTTTGAATTTTCAACGTAATTATTCTGATGGTCCAACAAAATTATTTTCAAATATGCATCCAGCTTATAAAATTTAGGCTCTTTCAACAAAATCGTTCTTGTCCTGTATTATAAATTGCAATATTTTATGGCTTTATATTTTATTTTTCATTATCCTTCTTACACTTTTGTTAATTTTATTATTATACCATGAACGTCCTAAAAAATTGGTATAAAATATTTGATACTACAGGTAAATTTTTAGAAAATTTATACATTTTATACTAATATCTTTTTACTTACGTAAACGACTGACACTAAAAGTATGTCGCTCGTATAACTGTCTCAATTATGCAAGTGATTCAGACAGTCACGTAACTAATTTCAGACTGTTGTCGCGTGAAATTCGCGTATTCATTTTCCACATGTATTTCATCTAGGCGCTATTGTCGAGACTCCTGTTCGCATACGTCTCCCGCATATAACACGCGAAAAGACTAGAATGTGCTATTAGACATACACGTGATATATATCGAAATGACTCGATGTAAACAAAATGCATGGTTATGTAAATTTTGTACATGTATTTTCTGCGCATAAACAGCACAAAGATTCTTTGATCCCACGTTCGACTCGCCTCTTTTTCTCAGCTCGATTCATCAGCTTTTTAATGAAGCAAACTCACGGGAAGCGAATGCAAATCGACCAATTAGCTTCAGAATGCTAAGCCTCTGAGGAATAATGTCTTAATATAGAATAATAATATGCATATAAACAGAACAACAATCATCTCGCTCATCAGCACTATTGAAATTGTTATCCGTAAACATCGAAATGTCGTTGTAGGATCGATTGCTGTAATCGAGAATCGATCGTTATTGTTGACATTGATGATTAATTGTTACGAATCCATTAGCGAAGTACAGCTGCCGCGGAGCTGTGCTTCCTCCGTATTATGCCGACTTTAGATTACATTTCAAAACGCTGCTTTCGGGGAAAATATTCTTAAAAATCTGCAGCATACGTAACGTAAATTATATATAAGCTTTTTAGTAAAATTTTCTTCGAAAGCAATGTTTCGGAATGTATAATTTTAAACGATCTGTAATTCATGCCAATATGTATGCACTTATTGAAATCATTATCCGCAAACGAAATGCCATTGTAGGGTCAACTGCTATTAAATCAAGAGTCGATCGTTGCTAAAATTGATTAATTATTACGAATCCATTAGTGAAACAGCTGTCGCGAAGCTTCCTGCGTGTTATGCTGTTACATTCCAAAACGCTGCTTTCGAGGAAAATATTGCTAAAAATCTATAGTATACATAACGTGAATTTTGTAACTATTTAGTGAAATTTTCTCCGAAAGCAACGTTTTGAAATGTAACTTTAGACGATCTGTAAATTACGCCGATATATATTATAGAACAGAACTCCACTTTATATAAATTTCATGTACCAAAGTAAATACAAAAATAATTTGAAGACACATGTATATATATTTAAAATATATAGTAAAATATACGGCATGTAAAACTATAAATAAACTATATATAAACGAATTTTCTGGCCTGAAATCTAACGTGAATTATAAATCCGTCCGGTGTGAACTTGAAGAACTTGATCCGCGTCTTCCGCACGACGCAGACGAGGAAGTCGTAAACGCAAAACAATAAACGTTTCGTTTTATTAAGGTCGAGCCACGACGCGCGATACATACATCGCCGACGGATCGATTCTCGATAACAACCGTTCGTTACGCGCGCGATTGTCGGAATGACAATTGCGTTCGAACGAATCGCTGATGCGGTCTGTCCGAGACGCACGATCGGATCATGCGCGACACTCGCGCGTGATCGCGAAAAATAAAATCGCCGCTGCGCGCGGCTAAAAATATGTTTCGCCACGTGCGCCACGTGGCACACGTGCAATCTCTCGTCGCGACGCATCGTCGTTTTAAAATGCGCGTCGTTTTAAAATGCGCGTTTACCTGCATTTCCAACGGCGCGGCGGCCCGAAATCAATTGATTTTTATTTAGAGTGTAAAACATTTACTTGCACATTTAAAAGTCTTTACTGCTTGTTAAAATAAATCGCTTAAGATTCAGACATTAAAAAAAATTTCGAATTTGGAGTAAAAGAGATTTTTCTTCTCTTTTTCTTTATCTGCTTTTCTTCATTCTTACTTTCTATTTTCTCTTATTTTTCTTCCCTTCTCGTTTATCTTCTTTTTTTCCTTCTGCGTTTCTCTTTTCTCTCATTTCCTTTTTATTTTTCTTCTTTTCTTTTCGCACTTTGAGAAAAATTAGGAATTTGATTTAATTCCTTTTAAATAAAACATCTTTAAACATAAATAGCTCTAATGCAATAATTTCCAATTAATTTTCAATTAATTACAATTACTTTTTTTATCGACAATTTAGATAAATTTGTATATTAAAATATTTAATTGATTTGATTCAAAACAATTTCGTGTGTGAATGTTACTGGAATGGGGGAGGAGTGTCTCTTCGGTTACGCGATTCGGTGAATACGAACGGTGGCAATACGTAACGCAAATCGTGTTCATTTGAGAATTAATTTCCGACTATTTCCGAATTGCGAATACACAGCGCGACGCGACGCGGTCGACGTAACGTCATTATTAACTTGCGCAACTTCATCCACGCGAGGAAAAATTATCCTAAATTGCGACCGACTAATCATCGGATTTCGTCAGGTGGATGTGTTCAGTGAAACCGATATTGCTTTGACGGACGATAAGCGCGAGATAATAGCCGATATCCTAACAGCGGCGCGGCGGTCTATCGGCAACAAAAAGAAGAGAGATAAGATATTTCACACGAAATATAGTCGCAGGACACTTTCTTGAGAATATATTCAAGAAAATATTGCGAGAGAGAAGTGCATATCGAAAGTATCTGATAAAGTATAAAATCTTCCTTTTTGCCGACGATAACAAAAGCTTAAACGAACTCGTTTATATGTTTTTCCCATGAAAAAACGAAATATTTGAGTCCACGTTAATCTGTGCAGTATAAAAAAAAAATAAAACTTGCAAAAAATAAAAACAAAAATAATGCGACATGCAATAAATGAGAAATTTACAGGCAACGTCGTACAGTGATGCTTCGTTCTCTCGGAACGTGATAAACAACATAAAGCAGTTCTCTCTCTCTCTCTCTCTCTCTCTCTCTCTCTGCACGGGATAATAATGCACAGGCCCGCTACTTTCTTGCATCCATGGTATGCATGCGCGTGCAAGCACCTGCCTTCTCTCTGTATAGCGCGTAACTCAGTAACTGGAAGTATTGCGCAACGTCTTACGCGCGCGCGTCCGACGCCGTTCTCTGCAGTTCACGCGTTCCACCGAATAATACGCGTGACCGCTCGTACAATACAAAATAATAAAATAACAATCAATATGTACTCGCATGAGTGGTTTTAATTTCCTCGAATCTTTCGTAGGATCTGATAAAGTCGTAATACCATCCCAGAAATAAGCCGAGCTTACGCAACGTTGATAAACACAGATACTTTAGATATAGAACGACCGACAGATTAGCGTGAATTCATTGCCAAGGCGTGAAGTGTTTCCTTAGAAGGCTCGCGAGCAGCTCGGGGGCCAGATTTAAGCCACCTTCGAGCTCCGTGTCGACGATAGTTATCTACATAAGTCGCAAACGCACAACGCAAACGCCAACGCGGAGAAAAAACAGAACGAAACGTCAAAAAAAAAAAAAAAAAAGAAAAAGAGAAACGTCCGCGTTTGCGTTTGCGACTTATGTAGATAAATTAAATATTCGCGCCGCTCGCAACGTTCGTTGACATTTATCGCGCGTCAAAACTGCGTCTTTTGTTCGCGCTAAAATACCGTGTCCGCGGCCGTTTTCAATCGGTCACGGTTGAGGGAAAAGGGGGAGAGAAAAAAAAAGGAGGACACGGATCGCATTTTAATTAAATATCGAATGTGCGAGAAGCGTGAGGGGCGGTCCGATGTAAAAATTAACGAGAACACCCTCTCCCTCTCTCTGATCAATTTCCCCCTAATCGCCCTTCATTGGTCTTCCAGCCAGATGGACCCTGCCCCTGACGGACGTGCTGGCGGTGCGCTACGGCGACGACTGGATACCGGGTGTGAGCGTTAAGGAGAAGCAGCCGGCGCAGCCGACCTCACCGACCACGGTGTGCCCGACCAACTTCATCCTGCACTACGCCGTGCGCGGGTCCAAGAACAAATGGCGGCACCACAGCGTGACGATGAGCCACACGGATCCGCGGCAGGTCGCCTCGTGGGTGAAAACCATTCGCAACTACCTCCTGGGTGAGTCGCCTTGCCGATATACCGATCCCGCCGTATTCTGAATTCTAAATCCACTGGAGTCGAAAATCATCAGAGCTCGCGCAATCCAAGGAGAACGGAAAGATCAAAGTGATATCAAAATGATGTCAAAATATGTTAAAATCACGTCAAATTGCATAGATCTTTCTTGATGTCTAATTATAATATTGTTTTTTTATTTTGTTTATTGTAACGAATTAATTTTAAAAATTACATAATATAAGAAAATTATTCTGAAAAAAGTGTGAAAAGCTTCCAAATATAATAATCGATTATTATCTTAAAAGTTCGCATATATCTGAACTTGTACATTTCATCTATTTCATTTTAAGTGCAAACAATGCAATTTAATTCACTATAAAAAACAGACACAGCACGAAAATTCTAATTATATATTATATATATAATTAGATTTTCGATAGAATTATATATATAATTGTACACAACTTTATTACAGGTAACAAAGTCGAATGAAACTTTTGGCAGTTATTTTTTTACACTTTGAAAAAATAAAGCAAATTTCACATATAATAAATTATTAATATTGTTAATAATTTTTTTAAATATTTTTTAAAATTTATCTAAAAAATCATTAATTAATTATTGTATAAAATTATTATGATATTAATTATTATAATTGTATTAAAAAAAGAAAAATAAATATTTGTCACCACAATATTTGTATACCTCATTTTTTTTAATAAAAAAAAAATTGATAATAAAAAGAAGTCAGCACATAAAGTTATTTGAGATTGAGATTTCAATCATGACATAAAAAATGGCGTAAATTCGGTTATTTTGACATCAAATTGATTTATTACTTTGATTTTTCTGTTCTCCTTGGGAAAGAATACGGCTCTCTCGCGGTCGACGCATTGCGTCGGCCGCATAATAATTTTAGAATTGCGACGTATAATATGTGACGCGGGGGGCGGCGTGTAGAAGAACATTGTCTGTGAATTACGAAACGAGGTGAGGCGTGTATTACAAAGATCAAACAGAATCGTGAAACTGGATTATACGGAGCGGAAAAGGCTCGTGTTTAACATCGAGAAACTCATGTAATGTGTAAAACAAAGAAATCCGACTCCGATCGAAGGTTAATTAACGCAGAGGCTTAATTAATGGCGCGGCTGTAATTTTCTATATCCCGCGTTGTGCGGCGCTTAAGAAAACGCATACCTATTACTTTAGCGATACGCGTAGCTGACGAACTGTGTTTGCGAGCTATGGTAAGCGTTTCTTGCATAAATCTTTTTTTTATTGGACGTCAATAAAGAGTGACGAATTTCCTCGTCGACCTGTTTGTACAATGAAAAAGGTGCGTGAAAAAAGAACACGAGAAAAATAGTCATAAAAAAATTAATGTGACGCATAAATTAATAGGAATTTACTAGCTCCTGCGTCATCGCTGATATCATTGTGGCATAAAGCGTAGAGAGAGTATAAACATAATAGTAACGCAATATTTTTTGTAGACAAAATGTTGATACAAGCAACTCAGGTTTAAAAAACACTAGGGAAGAATTAAATCCTTTCTTAATACCTTAAAAATATGGGAAAAACCTTGGTAATTAGAGAATTAAAAAAGGATTAAAATCACAAAATGAGCCAAATGTAAAATTATGCTGAATTAAACAGATTGTTTTTAAATTATCTTAAATCTATAATTTTCAAAATAAAGATTATAAAATGAAAAACTGAAAAGTTTGTATACATATGAATGGAGATGTTACATTTAAATGTAATTTATATTTAATATAAAATAATAATTTATAAACATATAATATTATATAAAGTTTTCAGTTTTCTTCGACCTATATATATCTTTGTATATATAATATAGATAGAGATTCAAAGATAAGTCAAAGATAAGATTTTACGATAAGCTTCCAACTTTATTGATTGTTACGTTATAGAGCGAAACATTTCTAACATTTCTGTAAACAGCTACCTCTCTCGCATCGAGTATTTTTCCATCGCAATTAAAGTCCGGGAACCGGAGTATGCAAAGTCTGGGCAGCCAGTTAACCTAGTTGGAATCGACGTAAATCGCGATGAAAGGTCGGTCCACGCCACGAGAATATACGCGGTGACCCTAAAACTTTGATAGAGCGCTGCAGCGTGGTCGGCAGACCAGTTGCGGTTTGTACGAAAGTTTTATCAGCAAATCGGTTTAATTTCAGTGAAATTTCGATAGTTGGCGAATTAAATTGCCGCTCCTTTCTCTCCTTTCGGTTTCGTTATTTTCAATAGCTTTCCGAACTGTGAAAGAATTGCTGCTACACTGTTAAACTCATGTAGTGTTAAATTATACTCAATTTCAGTTACTTTTAATCATTCCTATAAACGCCACTTTCCTATTCAATATTTCGTTAATTTAATTAAAACAGTGGAGTTATACAATTCAACTCAAGAAAATGTGTTAAATTTGATAAACTTGATTTATACATATTTACTAAATGCATACTTATTAATATGAAGCAATTCAATCACAGAAATGAGTTGATTAAATATGATTGTTTTTTTAATCATATGTTTTGTATTAAAATAATACATTTCGACATACATGGAAGTTGAAAATAACGATATGTTATTTACTCAATGCTCATACGACGAAATGTTATTTACTCAAGGAATTGGATTACAGTTGCTCCTTTCATATTTAGCAGTGTATGTATACACTCGTCGATCCGCTGTTTACGAATTTCGATACTTTTCGAAATCAAATATTCGAATGTTGAATCGCTGCCTCTCTATTCTCTAATTTTGCCGTTCACATGTTTCAACGTGTTTCTCCCATTTCGCTCATTTCCAGATTTCCCGAGTTAAATCGAATTGCTGCGCCGCTTAGGAGCGACGCAAAACGAATTAGGCGAGATGCGATACTCTCGGCTCGTCTGAGATACAGCGATGCTGCACGTTGGCCCCGATAGGGAGTGAGAGGAAGGAAGGATGAGAGAAAGAGAGAGAGCGCAAATTTTAATGAATGTCGAGAAAACAGGGTGGGCGTGCTCTAAACTACCCCTATCGACCGTCGTCGCGAGCTAACAACTCGTATTGATCCTGGGGGTTTGCCATGTCCGTGTAATCGTTGTTTTCATAAAAAAAACATCCCTTCGATTATCGACGTAGCGTCACGATATCGTAAGGAGAATCGATCGGAACACTTTACATGATTGAAAACTCTGCCTTCCTCCTTCATGTCTCTATTTGACCCATTTCCGTTTTTAAACAGGCGAAGTTGATTAAATCGCGATGAGGTAGGGAGAAAGTCGATCAAAAAAAAGAAAAAAAAACTCCGTCCGTTTTACTAATCCAGCGACGAGAGCCCTGCGTGGAAAAAGAACGAACGAATTTTTTGTATTAACTAGAACGCGATAAGATACATGACTTTGCAGAATACATAATATATTGCCTCCAACGTTTCTGTGAATTTTCTTTCGTTCCTCCACTTTTTAATCTTTGCGCGTGATATAAAAAATAGATAAATGTTTGATTAAAATCTAAAAAGAAAAAAATTATTTATGCAAGAATCCTCCTGGAATTTGAAGGCTTGAGAAGTTAATGCAAGAAAATTCTACGAATCAGGAGGGCTTTTAGATTCTGTCCGTAAAGAGCTGAACTTATAAACTCGCTACTGATCGTTTCAGGCCTGACTTATCGGCCGCGAAAGGTGATGCTGTTCATCAATCCCTATGGCGGTAAGAAAAAAGGTGTCAAGATCTGGGAGAAGGATGTCCAGCCGCTCATGACCATCGCCGGCATTGAGACAAAAATGATGGTCACAGAGCGTGCCGGCCACATTCGCGACGCACTGCTCACGGCCGACTTGAGTGACCTACATGTGAGTCCTGCTCCATGCGAGGCTAACATTCTATTACTTTCATGCAAAGTCCGTAGCCAGATACGTTCTAAATGTATTTCAACAAATCTGGAAAACTTTTTAGCAGACGTTTAAAAATTTTTTTCACAGATCTCCAAATTTATATTTATATTATTATTTTCGATATTTCTCCGTATTTATATATTTTTTTATTGTTCTATATGTTATTATTTTATATATTGGAATAATCATCCATTTATTAATCTAGAATCATTTTATACTAATTATACTAATTATAGGGTACTAATAATTTTACTAATTATCAAAAAATTAAATTCGGAAATCTGAATGTAATTGGTTTTTATACGCGATAAAAATATTAAATATAATATATATCTATTATATAAAATTAGAAGATCGAGCAGTCTGTGAGTTTCCGAATATTTATACAATACATTTAGAACGCATTTAGAAAAATTATACGTCTCTAGATTGGCCGCGCAAAATTGGTGTTAAACTAAGTATAAGTCCCGTACATGTGCCATAAAAGAGACACCCTACAAATATATGCAGTTTATCACTCTTCAGAAGGGTTGGGCAATGAGCAAATAACCAATTCCCGTAAAAAGGTAAAATACTAAGGGCAACTGAGGGAGAGATCTGGACTGACGCGCCATTGACGATGACTCTAGATTTTTATTTATCGAGATATTCCGGTTTCACATGAAAAACATATAAACACTTATTTTTCTCTAACGTACGTATAAATCTAGATTTTATAATTGCAAATTGGACTTCGCATTTAATTGAACGGGCTGTCCTCAAAACTTAACTTTATAAATCTAGATTTCATAATATTGCAAACTGGACTTCGCATTTATTTAAACGGATTCGGGCTGTCTTCAAAACTTAACTTTTCGCGCTTGATAGGCGTATATAAATCTGGATTTCATAATATTGCAAATTGGACTTCGCATTTAATTAAACGGATTCGAGCTGTGTCCTCAAAACTGAACTTTTCGCGCTTGATAGGCGGTGGTGTGCATCGGCGGCGACGGCACGTTCTCCGAGGTGTTCAACGGGCTGATACTGAGGGCGGCGAAGGATCAGCAGATCGATCCCAACGACCCTGACGCCCGGCTGCCCGTGCCCGCCCTGCCCGTCGGCGTCATACCCAGCGGTAGCACCGACACGGTCGCCTACAGCCTGCACGGCACCACCGACGTGGAGACCGCCGCCATACATATCATCTTCGGCGACTCGATCGGCGTGGACATCTCGTCGGTCCACAACAATCGCACCTTGCTCAGGTTCTACGCCAGCGTGCTCAGCTACGGTTACCTGGGCGACGTGATCCGCGACAGCGAAAAGTTCCGCTGGATGGGACCGCGTAGATACGAGTGGTCCGGTAAGGAAACTTCCCCTCCCCCCTCCCCCGAGTCATCCGACCGGAATGACCTGATTTTAATTAAACGCGGACAATTGAGCGAAGCCGATTAACTGTTGATCGAGTCTAATTATCTGACACGAGTTACGCAATAATCTGATTAATTTATCTCGATCTATCAAATCTTGAATAAATATGAAACTAAATATAATTCAATATCGATTGATTTTTCAATAATCGATATAATTTAATAATAATAATAATAATAGTATTGATATAATTTAATAGTAATAATAATAAAATATTCCGTGTATTATAATAAACACGGATGGGACTGATATTAGACTAATTGGATCTCTTCGTTTCCAGGATTCAAGAAGATGTTAGCGAACAGGGGCTACGAGGGTGAGATCGAGCTGCTGTCGGACCCGTGCCACCCGGCGGGCAGCACCAGGTGCATGAAGAATTGCCTGCGCTGCCTGCAGCACATGCACAACAGCATCCCCGACGGGGAGATCTCCAGTGAGTGTTGGAGGAGGATGAGAATACATAACAGCAGTCAGCAAAACTAGGCTAGGAATTAAGCGAATAATTCCTTGTATCTGTATCTTTTTGTTTTCGCGCGCAGGGTGGGTGACTGTCAGAGGGAAGTTCTTCATGGTGAACGGCGCGAACGTGTCGTGTGCGTGCTCGAAATGCCCCAACGGCTTCAGTCCGCACTGTCACATAGGCGACGGCTGCGTGGACATAATTCTAATTCGACACACATCCCTGATAAACAACCTCAGATTACTCCTCAGGCTGTCCAGCAAACGGAAGACTTTGGTACGCGCGAGTCCCAGCTATTTATTCGGATTAGTTATCGGCAATTATTAATCTTTCCGATTGACGATTTAATGATTATATCGATCACTGCTCACAGACATTTAGCATCTTCCGCTGCCGCGTGTATTATCGATATATACCGAATTATTGTTTTCGTGTGCTATACGCATTATTTGTTATCTCAAGTCATTTTTTCAATTTGTCTACATTTGTTATTCTGCGTAGCAACTGAGGAAGCATTATAACATTTTTATAAACGGCAGCAAAGATATTAAATGTTCAATCGTTTAGTCAGTCATAAAAAAAACTTCATCAAATCTATGATAGGTATAAAATAAGAGATTTATCCCTCCCAAAAATACAGTAAATTAGTTTACGTTTGACCAACTTTAAAAATCGACAATTTTATGAAATTAAAATGCTACGCTTTACTGCAATGTAAATAATTCTTCACTTAAGAAATTAAAATAATTATATTTATACTGTAATTATATAGAGTATTGCGTAAATTGTTATCATTGTGTAATTATATAGAGCGAATTGCGTAAATTGTGTATTCTAGAAAAAAAAATTGTTCAGAACTTTACGACTCGCCTTTTTACGAAGTCTAACGCTGTATAATTAATGCGGGCGCTATTTAAGAACAATTTTATTCTACAATGCTCCAAGAAGCATGATTACTGCAATGATTACTGCAGTAATGATCGCGTCATTGAGCATTGCAGAAAAAAATGTTTCAGGACTCAGCTTTTTTTTACAAGAAATAACGCTGTATAATTAATGGACGTTATTTAAGATACACCCTGTATATACTATATATCATAATTACGTATTGATTTTAAAACTCGGGGAAAGTCACAAGGAATCGCAACTCTGTTGCAGTACGAGCTTCCGTTTGTCGAGGTCTACCGGGCGAGGGAATTCACGTTCCGCGCCCTGCCGACGCTGCAGTTCGAGAACGGGCTGAACACGGCCCGCACGGGCTCGCGGCTCAGCGTGTGGAACTGCGACGGCGAGATGATCGACAACACCAATGTGAAAATCAGGCGAGTAAACGGCAAGAGGCGACAGCCAGCTCGGTTTACCGAGTGTCGCGTCAGTCCCCGTTATTCGAACTCCGTCGGATGTACATACCTTCACGAACTTTTTTTATCTTATCTAACGCTCAATTTAGAAACAATATAGCCGGTTTCGTGGCGTTCGTGCTATTTTACATTTCCGCCACTCGGCGTCTTTGTATTTGCGCAGGCATTACCTGACGTTGCTAAATATTTATGCGCAGGGTACACTGCCAATTACTGAAGGTCTACACGAGACGGACCCAGGAATCGGCACGGGAGCCGGCGTGCCTCAGCTGCACCACGTGAACGAGTCCCCACCCTCGAATGGAATCGTCTTACACGCCGGCTGATCCTCGGTTTCAGACGGTTCAAGGCCACGATCTCCCCCGCTCCGCGAACGCCTCTCGAAGGGGCACAGTTCCTTTGTTCTTGCCCTATTACGACCACGACCTCTTACGCCACAACATAAATCGATCGAAAAAGTCGTTCGTTCCTTTAATCCTTGCACTGATTATCAAAAAAAGAAAAACGAACAATTTTTTTTTCGTCAATCTGAACATTTCCAAGCACATCCAACGCGAAGCTGGGGAATAATTTTACGCGTTGAATACGCTCTTCCATCATTATTTCTTAACTCTGGATAAGTTTTTAATTATTATTGGATAACTTCTTAATTTATCACTGGCAGCGACGAGTAAAACTTGTAAAACTTTCCATGTAAAAAAAAATTGTTGTTAGAGTTTTACAAATTTTACTAGCAAGTTTGACTCGTGGCGTTTAATCTGGCGTTAAATTAAATATAATTAATAGTGTAATATATGTAATATAATTAATAACATTACAAAACTCTCCTGACTCTAGATGGCGAAACGAAACGAAATTCACTTACTGTTGTACACAGTTGGAAAAAATTTGTGTTAAATTTAACAAATTTTACATATCCCAAACGGTCCAAATTTGTGTGTTTAATTTAACACAGATGAAAGTAATATGAATATTATACGGAAATTAACACAAAAAATGTAACATTTTGACGCAATTTGAAGACAAATTGTGGAAAGCATATTTTTTCAGCCAAACTAATAATTATTTTCGAATTTTCGCTCTAAAGCTATACATTATTTTTATATTATTTATTCACTACTCATAAATTGTGTTGTTTGAACACTGAGAAATGTTAAATATCAATTTAACACGAAGTGATTCAAATAATTGCATCATGTTAAGTTATATTCAGGTATATGTTAAAAATTCAACATAAAATTTTAACCAGGATTCGAATGGACCGTTTTTGACATAAGTAAAATGTTTTCCACTATGTCTTAGGGAGAATTTTGTTAATGTTGATTGTAACGTCGGCCGGAATCCGGGCGAGTGCTGAGCACAGGTGCACAGGATTGCATTGATTGATTAAAAAAACCAGCGTGCGCGAGCTCACATCATCTTCGGTGTTTACGCCCGCGGTGTAATCCGTCTCGCGCGCAGAAACTCATTTATAACTTTTTTATCGTAATTGCATTTGACGACCGTTTGGCAATTGATGCGCTTTCCGAGAATACACGGTACATTCCGCCTGTCGGCGCGACGCGGACCGCAATGATGCTCAAAATTAATTTTATATGCGCGCGTCGACGATATTTTCCTACAAAAATAAACATTAAAACAAAGGGAAAAAACCACGTGATATATGTAACATCATTGAGACACGATTCGCTCGATCTCTTATAAGTTCGCTTATAAGTTCGAGAGAATTTTCAGTTGAAATTACTGAGAATGCGTATAAAGAGAGTGTCACCAATTATCTGGAAATCGTCATTTTCAGATAAAATATATAATCGCATAATTGTTAATTAACAAATTGGTAATTTCAAAATACGAAAGTAACAATAACAAGTTGAAATAAAATTTTAACTCGTAACTGTATAAGTAATCGCTCGTTCTTAAAATATTTACACATTAGAATCCGAAATCATGTGACTAAGAAAGATTATACTGTTCTGAGAGTCAATCGAAAATTTGTCTATAAACGGCGGAATCAATCAGCATCGGGATTGGCGACGCTCTCTTTATGTAAAATTACCGTCCCGCGCGCGCTTCCCGCCCGATCACTGTTTCGCGCTTATCGCGCGCATAGATACTCGCTGAAAACTCCAGGGACTGCATTTATCGTGGTCACCTCGCGACGCAGAAACCAACGACGACACTACCAAGCCGATTATACTTCTACGTTTTGTACTTAAAGCGTTTTACCGACACAAGCCAACGAACTCGAGGCGAGTTAAGTGATAAACGTGGGCAATTATTGGTTTGCGTTTAGTAGAAGAAGCATATCTGTGCAACTGTTTGTAAGATTCTCTAACATGATAGTATATTTATATCTGTGGGGACCCACAGGTAAGAATTAATATCGTATTAAAGAAACTTACACGATAGTTACGAAGCTGCTTCTTCCGTCGAGCACGCAGCCATCGTTACTTAAATTTACACATGTATACATGTGTTATTGATTGTAAATTTATTTCAACGATAAATTCGCAATCAATAGCGAGTGCAATAAGTCGTCAGCGTAACAAATTTAAGTGATATTACCGATAGTAAAATTTTCAAAAAGCTCGGTTCGCAAAATCGATTTTTCGTCACGCGATCCACCTCGAGTGACGAGCTTTTTTCCTTTACGTTTACGCCTTTTACGTAAAGACAATCAAGTCGAATGCGAGAGTGGTGCTTGAGTTTTGCGAAAACTCTGAGGCTTAGAGGCCTAATTCAATAGCGATTAACGAGCTTCTTTTCCAGTAGTTCCCATCTTTGTTCGCGAAAGTATTTAGATTAGAGTATACTTGCACGTTAATTGTAATAGCGAGAGCGCATAATGTGCGGCAACGAGACGCGATTGTTTGCGATTAAAACGCAACGACGTTTAGGCGAATGTGCGCGAATATCTTTAATTACGTTGCCGATGCTTCAGTGTCTTAGAAACCTCAGCTGTCTCGTATATAGGATAAATTTTCCGTGAAATTCATTAGTGTCGGTCCACAATGAGGATTTTAAGCCCTAAGCAGTAAAAAAAAATAGACCAATCGTAGTCGAATATGGGGAGAATCGATTGTAATCGAATCAATACCTTACGGAGTAAGGCTTGAAATCCTTATTGTGGACCGACACTTACAACTTACGAGATAAAGGCTGCATTCACATATGCCTCCTTTTTCTTTAAACACTAGATTCGACGAAGTGTCGACATATTTGAAGATATCACTCTGTAATATATTTTAGGAGAGAGATTACTTCGAGGTATATTTTTTGACGAGAGAAAAAAAAATTTAGGCACTTTAGCGCGTGAGATACAGGAATTTAATACTGGAAATTACTTATTTCGAGTATTATTAAAGCACAGTGCTGAAAATAAGTGATTGACTGCTACCTTAAAATTCTCTAAAGGATTTCAATGGAAGGTAACTTATAAAGAGAAGTATAATAATAAAGAAAAGATATTTTTCTCGTGTGACGAAGGGTATTTCGATTTCGCAACTTTGCCGTTTGCGTCTCACGTATAAAGCACAACACTGAGAGACATTGAGTCCCAAAATTCTCTTGATCGTCGCGCGAAGCGGAAGATATTCCGCAGTTGAGAGAGCGCGGTCTGCACCGCGAATATCCTATTTTTAGTACGTTCTAAGCAGGTGCTAAGCGTCGTCGGGAAATTAGATCTAGTTGTAGGGTTTCGCTGTACGCGTGTCAAAGCGGATAATCGGCAGATTACCGACATAAACAGTCGTGCAAGCAGTCATGTCCTATCGATGGCCAAGCCATAAAAAATTCATCAGGGAGGGGAAAGCTATAAGCTCGTGGAAAGCTATAGCCAGTGGAGAGGCACGACGTCACGGTCGCGGTTGAGGGACGGATGCAATATAGTAAATACACGAATATATTTTAGGGGTGAGATTTAACTTTGAGGTATATTTTTCGACGAGAGAAAAAAAAGATTAGGCACTTCAGCGCACTTGAGATCTAGGTCGTACGCAGAGATTTGATTCGTTCCTTCGTGTAACGACATATCATGGATTCGTACCAGATCTATGTATTATATAGGATTCGCGCGGCGGAGATAGATTATGCATATTTTCTGATTTGCGAGACGTTGTTCGCGCGATATTGAGACGAAATGTCTTCTTAAAGGGCGGTTTAGACTTAACGCGCATTAACGAAGTAGATGTCACCGAAGCAGCACATATAGTTGTATACGATATCAGAAATTGTACAGATATATATATTATATATTATATATACATATATATTTTTTTTTAATCGCGAATGTATTTATATATATAAAGTGGACAAGTACAGCGAATTAATGTGATGATCTATTTTGATGGATATAGCATATATATATATATTATTTTGATTCCTATCACTGGGAAGGTGCACCAAGCGCGTGGCTGCACGGAATAAATTATATTAACTTTCTATGTACTGTGTATCTCATTTTTATCATATCCTTCCCTTTGCATTCTTTTGTTTAAATAATGAAATTTTATATTATATTTCATGACAATGAAATGATTTTTTTAGCCGCAAAAATATCAAGGTTTAAATTATTAAAGAAATTTTTAAAATCTACGACGTCTTTTTTGCCTAAACGCCGTACTTATGACATAATAATGGAATATTTTCATGACCAGAGAGATAAAATGATATTTTAGCCGCAAAAATATGAAGGTTTAAATTATTACATAAATTTATAAAATCTACGACGTCCTTTTTGCCTAAATTCCGCTCTTATGTCATAATAATGGAACATTTTCGAGATTAGGGAGATAAAGTGACTTCTTAAGCCACAAGGTTTAATTATTAAATAAATTTATAAGTCAATCGAATCGATTGGATTACTAAATTGATTGAAATGATGTCAACGTTATGAAAAACGTTATATTTTTATATACAAACAAGAGCTATCTACAGACATGCGTGTCGATTTGTTACATTAGTGATATCGTATACCACTATTCGGCATTTAGTAATTCAACAATCTGTACCTGTTAATTTGTACTATCATCCTTCATTCGCACTATCTCGTTTTCACTTTCATCAGTCTCGATGTACAACTGTTCCCTCGTGGACGACATTAATTTGAACACTACCGGAATTACAGTCAAGCTGGGATTCTTCTTTTGCAGACATCGTATCCAAGATAGCAAGGAGTCTTTCGTGGACGTGCCGGTGGCGCACATTGCAAAATACGTGCCATCGTCTTGCTCATGAACCATAGGTGCAAGAATAAGTTCTTTCTTGTCCCAAAATGGTATTCTGATATTTGAAACATCTGCAACAAAGAACAATCGTGTCAGTTTTTTTTTATATTAAAAGCCTCGCTTGCATATTTGAAGAAAGTTAGTAGGTTAGCATATAATTAAAATCTATGTAATTAATTATAATATTAATACTAATTATCATTTTAATAATATCACATATAATATAATAATAATAATAGTATTAGATATTATCATAACTATATCAGAGTTATGCCATTAATATATTATAATGTAACATAATAAAATACTGAAAATCATACATTTTTTAATATAATAATAATAATATATAATATGACTCCTAAATTAGTAGGCAATTTAGTTAGCGATTATTTACCATCGGGATCTTCCTTAACATTCTGCCTTTCTTTGGGCGCTCCCTTCAGAACAAAATAATCTATACACTGGTCCGCGACCCAGACCGTATACGGCCCCTCGACGAAGATCGGAGTGTCCGGAGGGTGCGTTCGCAGCAGTTCCTCCTGCGAGCCGCTCATCGCAGACACGATCCACGTGTCCTCGATCGCGTCCTCCACGTCCCTGGTCTCGAAGTCCGTGATCGTGCTCCGCACGTCCGCGCTGGCCATCTTGCTCATCGCCAGCCGGGCGAGCACCCGCGGGTCCTTGGGCGCCGGCCGGGCGCACGGCCAGGGGTTCAGGTTGGCGAACTTGGGCATCCAGTACATCATCCGCCAGAACTTCTTCAGCGGCAGCCCGTGCTTGCCGAAGATGTTGAGCAGCATCTCCTGCATCTCCAGGTCCGGCATCACGCAGTTGTGCTCCATCTTGCAGAGCAGCTCGACGGTGACGTACTGCTGCTTCGGGTAATGCATGAACATCGTCTGGTAGTAGTTGCGCGGGACGAACTTGCCCTTGGGCAGCACGTCCAGCAGGGACTTGTAGACCGCGAGGTCGCGATTCACCCCGAACTCGTCCATGTACTTGAGGGCGACCTGTATGAACTCCATGTGGCCGTGCCGAACGTCGTTGTTGTTCTTGTACTCGCGCAGGATGTCCAGATAGGCCTCCCTCTCCTTGCTCTCGGCGTTCGAGAAGGCGTGAAGTATCAGGGCCGACGGCTTGCTCCCCTTCTCCTCTTTCTTCTTCTTGTTGTCGTCCTTCCGCCGCTGCTGGCCGACGTGAATGGCACGACTCAACGGCCGGCCTTCGACAGCCTCCTCGCGCAGCGCTCGCCTCCACGACGCGGAGGTGACGTTCGACGCGAAGAGGACGTACCGCGTGATCCGAGTGAGGAGCATGCTGGGGCCGACGTAACACCCTAGCGCCTCATCTCCACGCGACCGATCCGAGTTTCACACGCGCGAGAATCGCGAGAGAGTCTCCGCGAGGTTATGTTACGTTCCGCCGCGCGCGGACTCGTGGGGCTATCTAACCTCTCTTTTCGATCAGTCCTCTTTTATTTCGTACGTACTGGGCTGCGTTCAGAAGCTTCATCTGGGTGCATAAGATGTCATTTTATCCTTGTTTAACATTCGGTGAATAACAAGGATAACATGATATAAGATAAACGTATGTACCAGTGACTGAACGTGTATCTATAGTTGAACAAGTACGCAAAAATTTATTTTTAAATGATTTTTTTCATAATATTATAATTTAATTGTAATCGTTAAATATTTTTACAATTAAAATTTGATATTACAATAAAAAAAGTATTTGAGATTAATAAATTTTGTGTATGTGTTCAGATATAGATAACATGTTCAGCCACTGGTACGTTTACCTTACCGTGAATTCCTGAACGCAGCCTAGTACAAAATACATATGAAATATATGAATTGAATAGATGCAATAGAAAAAACCAATTTCGTATTCAGAATATGTTTCTGAAGTATATTATATATTATGTCGAATTAATTATATCGAAAAATTATGCATTAGAAAGAGAAAAGTTTGAAAATGGCCTTGCCGCATTTTAGGTAGTTACGTCCACGCGCGTCGTCCACACTAGCGCTTCTATGCACATATACAGGGTGTTCATAAAGTATTGGACCCCCCCTCTATCTCAGAAAATATTAACTGGATAAAAAAACTTTAAATACAAAACTTTTAGGAAATCCAGTTAGTATTTTCTGTGATAGAGGGG